TACACACACACACATACACACACACAATATATATATATATATATATATATATATATATATATATATATATATATATATATATATATATATATATATATATATATATATGTATGTATGTATGTATGTATATGTATGTATGTATATGTATGTATGTATATATGTATGTATGTATATGTATGTATATATATATATAATCAACTAGCTTTTGTGAAAAACACTTCTGTTGCTTAGAGAGTGTGAATCTTGGACCCATTGGTGTGTTGATTAATTGCATTCTGGTTGTTGAGAGTCAAACAAATGCACTACAAAAAAAAAAAAAAGAGCACTACATGCAGTGCCAAAGATGCATATAGTTGCAGGAACCTCTTAATGAGCTGCTCTTTCTGACCTAATTTTTTCAAGAGCTGCAAAAATGGAAAATTTGCCTTTTAACTAAGAAAGCTCCTTTTATCAGTGGTTTCTTAGGGCCTAGCTTCTGAATTGTCACTAGCACACTGATATCTGGTTGTAGAATTTATCCTGTCTGAACATCGATGGCTGTCTGAACTGGTCGTGGTTGCTGCATTTTCTTAAATATCTAGTGAGCTTAAGCGACTTCCTTCCAGTGATCAGAGCAATAAACGTAATGTGCTTAGTTCCATCATCATGTGGAAAGTTTCAAGATCTCGTGACAGACTGATTCATAAATGCACTGGTTATGATACAACTAGGCTTTATATGCTGTCTTGGTGCTCATCTTTAGTTATTATCTTGTTTTCCCTCGTTTCCTTTAAAAAACTTGTGGAGCACTAATTTTGTAATCTGCATATTTTTTCATCAATTTGTAAAACACTTTGCAGGAGGTATCGTGAATAATACACTGAGGCCCCCAGTGCCAGCTACATGTGATCCGGAATGGAGAAAGCTAATGGAGCTGTGCTGGGCCCCTGATCCAGCACAAAGGCCATCCTTCACTCAAATTGCAGGTCGTTTGCGATCCATGTCTGTTGCCAGTCAGGCAAAACCGGCCAAGTAATGATACTCTAGCCTTTCATCCTCCAGAGCTGCACTGTCACTTGTTCTGGTTTTTAGTATGGGTGATACATGGACTATATAAGGTACGTCAAACATCATATATTGTGTGTATTTAGGTGTACACTTATTATTAGATCATCACGCCGATCGAAAACAAATTATATCTTTTTTGTGTGAGGTTTGTACCAAGAACCTTGTTATCTATCTGTAACTTATACACACGGATATCTGTGAGCTACCTCAGTAGGAACCTTATGCTGCTTATATATCTCTCATGGATAGAAGAAATTGCTACTCAAAATAGATTCACCACACAACTACTCTCCTGTCAGAACGCCAGATTTGTGGCCGAGTTGAATCTCATTTCCTTGAGCTTGAAAACATGGATCATGAATGTATTACTTCTTGAAGAGCTTTAAAATGCATGATATATACAACTGCTGCTATGCACTTTGGGGTTGCAATGGAGGCTTAGTTTGTGCTATATTGGGTTGTGAATCTTTAATGCTCTCCCTCCCTTTTCCTGATATTTTGAACTGTTCTTTTGATGTGAAAAGTGTAAGCATTGTCATACAGTAGAAGTTAAATTATTTATAGGGTAAATTGTGGCCTCAGGCAATTTAACTCTTTCATTGATCTCTTACCGTTAACCTGATTGCTTTCTTCCCTGTCTACTTATCTATTTAATCAGATCAATAATCTTTGCTCAACATAGTATGTAATACCGTACTGTATCGGTGTTTCGAGATTGGCTCGGTACGGTATGATACCGGTGTACTGAGCAGTACATTAGGGCGTATCAAACGATACATCCTAGTGTACCGAATTATTTTATAATTTTTTTCATACTTAGCATTGTTACAGTATAATACTATAGCTGTAGTACTGTAGCAGCACTACAATGTAATATTATAGCATTGTAGTAGTACCGGACGGTTCGCGTATCGGTATACCGTCGGACCGCTTTTAAGTAAAAAAAAATTACCTTATATTTCTCCGGACCTAAAGACAAATATGTCTCACAGTCGGATAACATCGATGAGTGAAATGCAAATAAAAGAGAAGACAATAATAATTCATATTAAAAAAAATCTTTCCAAAAAAGTTTTTGTAAAAAAAAAATTGCATCATATTTCCAAATCAAACCTATGGACTTATTCTTTTGTCGTTTTCTCATCTTTTCCAATACATCTTTTTGATGCATAAAAGAAGGGGGGCGAATGTTAAAACATTCATAGAGGAGGTGGCTAACCCTAACCCTAAATCCACTCTAGCTAGGGATTAACGTAAATTACTAAAATATCCATATTTAATATACTTATTCTGGTCAGATTCAAGTTATTAGATTCAAGTTAAACTACCGTATCGTATACTAGATTTTGTCTCAAACTGTGTCGGATGTCAGAGATTCTCCTCTCCGAATGTAACTGAGATTTTGTCTCTACTTTGTTGGATGTTAGACCTTCTCCGCTCCGTATGTAACTGTCCATCAGAACAAGCTTCATCCAAAAGCCATCACTGTCTTCCAACTCTCCCTCCTCTCTTTCTCCATGGATACATACATATTATACTAACTGCAGCGTCTCCTCGCACTGAGCCGTCCTTCCGTGCCGGAAGATCCAAAGCGGAGGACATGGTGAGTCACCAGCTTCTATTCCCTGCATCACACGCCGAAACATCTCCTCACTTTACTCTCTTACCTCATGCAGCAGCTTCTCCCTGCCCTGCTGCTCCTCATCCTAACTCATCTCCCGGTGGCCATCAAAGACCTCGTTGCATTCGATGTAAAAGACTATGGAGCTGCGGGTGATGGCATCACGGACGACACACAGGTAGCTTCCTCGTCACATTTTGCTTCGCTGTTCTCTGCAACCCGCCATGGTTTTCTATGATAACTGCAGAGGTGCAACAGCAGAGAGAGGAGTTTCTGCAACGATGCTTGTGATCACTGAACGTTACCAGCGTCACCGCTGCACAGATTCCTACAGCGTCGTGCCAAACTAGTGATCACAAGCCAACTCTGTAGCGTTTACACGCGCCGTCTCCCACCGATGTCCATTTGCCTGTTCTGTTTCGCTTATGGGGAAGGCAAATGCCAATCTCTGTTTCTTGCTCACGTCAGACCTCCGTAGGAAGAAGAAGAGGTCCTTTAGTGAGTCATTTATTTCTCTGTTTGGTTGCTTTGTAGGCATTTGCAGATGCGTGGGAAGCTACATGCAGGAAGGCTACAGGTCTTCCCATCATGTTCATCCCTGGGAAGAATAAGTTCTTAGTGAGCCCCATCATATTTAAGGGGCCATGCAAGGCCTCCAATGTCCTGGTTCAGGTTTGTATCGGGGATCTCAATTCCATTCATAAGCTTTCTCTCTCTCTCTCTCTCTCTAAACTCCATATATACATAAACTCAAAGTTCACAGAGTGACAATAAACTTATTTATTGTTTGAAGATTATTGGTTGACATATTACAGTACGATCATACACACACTAGACATTAATAGGCAAATTCAAAGTCTAGACCTCTTCACTGTAGACACAACATCTGAACTTCTCGGTTGTTTGAATAATGTTCACTAGCACAGGTTGAAGGAACACTTGTGGCACCTGACAGCCCGAGCACATGGAACTTCACCGACGCCTCCCTCTGGATTCAGTTCAAGTCCGTCGATGGGCTGAGACTCACCAGTTCTGGCTTTGGTCTGTTTGACGGCCGAGGATCCAACTGGTGGAGGCAATCTTGCAAACTCGATCCCAGAAAGGTTCAGTTTTGATTAAGATGAACTGTATGATGCCAACAACTTGCATTGTTTTCTGAACTCTCTGTTGTCTTTGAATCCTTGATGCAGGGATGCACTTCTTTGGCCCCAACTGTGAGTATTTTCCCTAGCATGACATGGTTACTGATCAGTAGATCTTATGATATCAACTTACATCCTCAAAACTTACATGAAACCTCAAACAATTTAGCAAACCTTCAGGGTTCTCTAGATCACAAAAGATTGTATTTACTTGAGGCAAGAAGAAAGATTGATGATAGTACAGTTACTGAAGTTGTTTTGTGTTCATTCAGGCAGTAAAATTTGTGCAGTGCAATGACCTTGCAGTGAGCAGTCTGCGGTTCATAAACAGCCCACAGACACATATTTTGATAATAGACAGTAACAGGGTTTACGTCACTAACCTTAACATCACAGCTCCTGGGACGAGTCCCAATACTGATGGCATCCACATCCATGCTTCCCGACATGTTTATATCCAAGACACCATCATAGGAACAGGTCAGATGCCCTTCTTGTGTCTCAACTTACTGTTCTACTTCTCAAGTAAAATTGTCTTGATATGGAAATTATTCCTTGTGTAACAGGTGATGACTGCATTTCAATCGGGGATCGTACCAGTGACATAGTTGTAACACGGATAACATGCGGTCCGGGACATGGAATAAGGTGAAAAGCTAACAACCAAACATGTTGATTTTACATGATTTTGAATGTTTCCTGCTTGGAAGCATCACTAGCTGAAATCTGGATTTCAGCTTATCTCTGCAAAAGGGGAGAGAAAACAAAGTTCAGAAAGATATTTCAAGTAAGAAAGAGGACATCTTATATGAGACAAGCAACAATTTCAGCAAAAGAATCTAACCAACAGATGGAGTATGCTCCATGGCCCATATATATAGACAATTCAGTCACCTAAAATGAAGTCATATCTGATTTTTACATTGGTATTATTTCATAGCCCTTCCATGAGCTCATTGATATACATATACATATACATATACATATACATATACATATACATATACATATACATATACATATACATATACATATACATATACATATATATATACATATATATATATATATATATACACACACACACATATACATACATACATATATATATGTTTTTCTTGAGGAAAGATAGCTCATCATATTGATGACATACCAAAGGTGTTATCATGGAATAACATATGCTACTGTCAACTCTTTATAGGTGTCCTGATAAGTAGGAAACTTAATGTATCGGTTGATGGCCCTAAAACCTAGGTGATCATTGTGTAAAGTATATGTTCAATAAATACCATCCAACAATACCATGAAGTAATATTGTACTGATTATTGGAAATCATAATAATAATCTAGAAGTCAAGAATACCCTCAAAAAAAAAAAAAAGAGAAAAAGAAGGAACAGCGAAGGAAGTAAATTTTTCATTCCTAAATATTGGTTTCATTGTCATTCATATCTATGTTTCTGGCCAAAATATGGACATAACTAACAATTTACTAATAGAATGTGATCTACTTATGTGATCAAAGCTGAAACCAGAACTCATGATTATGTATATGTCACTGTCTCCAATTCACTTCATTGACATGCATGATTATGTATATTAGGTTGTCCGGTCTCAGCTCAGCTGACTTTTGCCTTGTAATTATACTTTTACTTTAAAAGCTATGAACAATTTCTTCAGTGTAGGAAGCTTAGGCAGGGGAGGCTCAAATGTTTCAGTTGAAAGGATTCAAGTATCTTATGTGAACTTTTTTAACACAACCAATGGTGCTAGGATCAAAACTTGGCAGGTAAATTTCAATATCCTAAATCCTAGCTTGTTTCACATCTCCTAATTATTTCTTTCTTCTTATAAGTTTTCAATATCCAAACTTAATCTATAGTTATGTACTTTGACAATTTGCATCTTGTTCTTTGCATACTGTACACACATAATCAAAACTTAGTTGATGGAGTTTCTTTGTTTATGTGTTTATTTTCTATTAAATGCAGTTGACTAGGCTTCATGAAAAATTTCTAATAAGAGCTAATATTATACATATAACAACCTTATTGGCATACATCAATCTCAATTATATATTTGTTTTGCAGAAAATCTTATTTGAAGAGACTTAAAATTGATGAAATGCTGATAACCTTAGTTATCCGTTAGTCTTTTATAAATTTAGAAGCTGTTGAACGAATGTATTTCAAAAAAGTATACTCAGAGCAATGCAAATGAACACCACTTTAATCGCCTACTATCACACACAGCTTCTAACCAGTCTTATTGACTATAATACTTCTTCTGATAGTACTTTCCTACTGAATAATTACTGACACTTAACTTTTAATTGTTGATTTACTGAAAATTGTTCACAGGGAGCCACAGGTTATGCAAAATCAATGTCATTCGAGAAAATCAAATTCAACAATGTACAAAATCCTATCATAATTGATCAAAACTATGGTGCTAAAGCCAACAATTATACCATTCAGGTATGCAACTATTATAACCAAAATTATCATCATCACGGATGTGATATTTTTTATATATATCATCACCATCATGATAGCTACACGGTTCTGCCCTTGTTTTCTGTCTCTTCCCACAATTTTGATGGAAATCTTTTCCCACATGTTCATTAGAAGGTTTCAGAGCATGTGATGAACCTGAAGATTAGATAGTAAACACGTAAACAAGGTTATAAAATAGTTGACCAGCCACCAAAAGACATCAAATTGCATCAAAATTTATCGACTTGACCACACCTTTTTAATTATTCATTTATTGTATACCACACCTTTTTACTGTCAATACATAGATGTCGAGAAAGTCAAATAAGAAACATTTCCTATTTTGATCTTCAATGGATAGTTAGTAAAGATAGTCAAATCAGTAACTTGCAGAGCACCAGGGCTCATGAATTGTCTTAAGCCTAAATAGTATTTAGAGGGATAAGAAGCAGATGACAGCATATACATTTCCTTATGTGTGTTCAGTTAGGAGTGTCCTATATTACCATGAAGTATGTAGGGGATCAAATGCTTTACCTCTCTTTCTACTAGATGGGACACTGCTGGTCAATTACATATCCTTGATGTCTTTGATTTCTGTTCTTTGTTATCTCTTTCTAGTGTCATATATAAGTTGATGGTACAGAAAGTTTATCAAGTCTATTTCAATTAAAGCATGCAAAAATAGCTTATCTTTTCTGAAACAAAAGGAAAACAAAAAAAAAACCTTTTGTAACTGACTGCTAATTCTCTTTCTCTGATTCCATGAAGCAAAATGCAGTGCAGATTAGCAATGTGAGATATGCCTACTGTGCTGGAACTGCAAAGACAGATATTGCTATCAACTTAAACTGCAGCCAGACTGTCCCTTGCACTGACATCCAATTCGACAATGTTAACATACCAGTGACATCTCGGGGAGGTACCACAAGGGCTTACTGCAACAATGCCCATGTTACCACATCCGGATACATCAATCCCCCAGTTATGCCCTGTTTTCCCCTGAAGCAATCATTTGATAATATCATCTCTTAGCATTCAAAGACAGTGTATTAACATCAAACTTGTACTTTTCACAACTTTATCTAGAGATGAAATTGAAGCCAAAGTTATGCAAGTCTTAAACCTCTCAATTATAGTTCTAATTTTGCTTCATTTATAAGCGAAATGAAATCTTATAAGTCTCATCTTCAAATACAAGATAAAGATACAGATTAGATTGGAAAGGAATTCATGAATACCAACCAGGCAAGACGGTGAATCATTCTGAAGACAACTGCTGTTCCATAGGAAGAATGTGGATTCCCCATCCATTACCAGACTAATGCTCTTGCAATCGCAAGCAAATTCTATATGACGCAGCATGAGATGATGAATGGCAGTCTGTGACCCTTGTAAGAACCTTGGAAGATCAAAACGTGATTATTCTCTGCTACTGTTTCAGACTACATGCTGAATCAGTGGAGTATGTGATGATAACAAATGATTGCATCTCATCAAATCATTAAGTCTTCAGGCTTTCAATTTGATCAACTGGCACAAGTAGTTGTTGTACTGTGATCAATTGACAGAATGATTAATGCATGAAGCCAAACCTTCTTCAGATGAGCTTTCACTCTTCCTCCTCCTCCTCCTCCTCTCTCTCTCTCTCAATGGCACCGGTTGTGCTATCCAAGAGCCTCGCTAGTATGTAAGCCCCTAGAACAAGCAGCCGACTTGTGATCACACCTCATCACTACACTTCTCTACCATGCCCTTCTCCTACTCCCACATCCATTCCTTGAACCCAATGCAACGCTGCTGCCGGAGGCAGCAAGGCCTACACTTCCTGCTGCCACTCGTCCGCCGCCGCTGGGTTGTGGGGCGGCGGGTCATTGCCGCGCTGCCGGAGCCCGGGGTGGCAGCGCGCGTGCCCAAACAAGGCCTTCAATGAGGAGAAGCGCCTTTCGCACTCGGTCAGCGGTTGGGTGGTGGTGGCAGGCGGCGGCGGAAGTGGATGATAAGGGCTCGGGCAGCGGCGGAACGACCGAGGACGGCGCGAGAGGGCTTGTAAGCTGCCAGCCGCTCTTGGCCAACTCTTGTACCCGGCAGTGAGAGGTCAAGATATTGGGTCCCACCCATGGTTCTCTCTTTCATAGGGAGGCGGGATTCTCGGGTCAGTATAGATACAACCCGTTTATGAGACCAATCCTCTTCTCGATGACGTGGCCGATCCAAAGTCGCTAGTTCGGAGCCAGCAGTGCGGAAACGTGTCGTCCACCATAAGCTGACTGCCACGTGGAGTGACAAAGGAGACCCACGAAGAAACGCAAACCATAACCCACGAAACGTGGCAAAACCTAACAAAAAGCTTGAGCTATAGGTCTATGATCGACGGTCTGGATCATCCTGATTTCATGTGGGAATCATCTGTAAGGTGTATTAATACTGATACGTTACCGCCACATACCGCACTCGCTCTGTTCCCCCCCTCCTCCCATGAAAGCCCTCTCCTCCCCCTTGGAAAGCGACAAAGATCCCCGAGGAGTTCTCCTTCTCCGCAGCGATCTTGTCGCCGCCTGGTTCTTTCGGTTATCTTGGTTCCCGTTGGCGGTGGACGGAACCGCACGGTCCTTCGATCTCAAGATCGTGAGGAGAAACTAATCTTGGCGGCTCCGGAGGCCGCCTCTTATTGGATCAGGTATCCGATCGGGAAGCAGGCGGAGGATTGCTTCGCTGCCGTGTTCGAGATTCCGAATCTTTCCAATGGCCGGAGGGCCCGTGACCCGACCCAGGAAGAGCACGCTCGGCCCGAGATTCCTTGCCCCGGTAAGCTCGATTCACTTCTTGCAGCAGATGAATTGTACTCGTACTCGTGGCACAAATCTTGAAGGTTTTCCGAGGGTTTTAGTCCCTTAAAGACGTGTTTGAAGAAACATAGCTAATAACTCTCAGAATTAGAGACAAGAACCTTAGTATCGCCCAGTATAGATTGGTGTTCATTGCTTGGTTCGGTCAATGTTGTGAGCTTAGGAATGGTAAGCTTGGTTTCAGACAAGATCGGGTGAAATCACCCAGACTTAATTCCTTGGTCTTAAGCATGCACATTCCCGAAGCTATAAATTTCATGTATATAGAACTATGGACCTCAGTAGGAAGATCAAACATTTGCTAAAGGCAAATTTCCTGTTTGGTATGTATAAGTTTCATGCACATTCCCGTAACATTCCTTTTTTACTTGAAGAAAAGGAAATTCAAAGGAAATATCAGCAATTGCTTTGTCTAAGATAAGAGGCATCTTATTCTACAAATTTTGTCATGAAGAATTACAACTCCACATTACCACCAGAGTATAACTATATAAGGAACTTGAAAAAGCAAAAAGAAAATCGAGGCCTAAACTAACCTTTTCACATAATATTTTGACCACCTTATATCCCATATGAGTTGTTAGATATGAACCAGTGTTCCTATGCTGATTTATGAAGAAATACAACATGCTGTATTTTGGTTGTTTTTATGTATACTCGTATAGAGAACTACCACAATATAGTGTTTTTTTTTTTTTTGCTTCTGCTGTGACTTCTAATACTCTGTGTTTGTCAAAATTGTGATACAATCATTTTAACAAATGCCCTTCTAAATTTCTGTTCTTAATTTCAAGATTGGTCTAGAACTTGGGAGAAAAACACTGGAATTTGGTACCGTACTCATCACACTTCAAAAATTCATCAAGTCACAATTTCTTGGTCTCTTGATACTGAAACCTGCTGCACTTGAAAGACCAATATGCAGAGGCCACATTAACTGTACATATTGTGGCACTCCATTAATCCTAATAGCAGAACACTGTTTAGATTCATATTCTGCATGGAAACTTTCAAACATCTCATGCTTTAGCTCCTTGGATAATTAATAAGTCCACATTATATAAGGATGAATAGCAACTATGGAATGTATGGATCGAGTTTCCTCCATGTATCAGGTGTGCCTTCTTGTACATGTTCACAGAAGGATTAAGACTTGGACTGGTAATCCATCATGGTTGAAAAGTTTATTCTCTCCTGAAGTCCATTTATTCATGTCTTTCATATTCAAAATCTTACAAAATGAACTGATCAGGATCATTTGGGTGTTCTTTTTATGTGGATAGAGTATTAGCATCGTCAAGCTTCAGTGGAGCCAACCTCCATGAATTGTGACTAAAAAAAAACCTATGCCAAGTAATCCAGTCCTAGTGGAGGGTAATCTAAATTATAATGCCCCAGCCCTAGCTAGAAGCTAGGAGTGATGCAATGCTGTAATCCCCGTAAGAAAACCTTGTGAGAATTACAAGGTCTAAACCTGCACAAATTATATGTTTCATGTATATATCCTTTAAGTCATGCTCAATCATATGTACATGAAATATGTCACCTGTTCATGTTTAGGCCTTGTGGATTGCGGTGTTGTACCACTCCTAGCTTCTAGCTAGGGCTCGTGCGTTACGATTGATGGTACCAGAATTGCTAGGTTTGTGGAACACTTTCTACCAAGTATGTCAGTACCAATTTATGTATCATCAGGTGAGTTGAATTTAAGACAAAGAAGTAGAACTCTTGAAAAATTATGAGCGAGGAGGTTTAGTGTTGGACCATTCATTGAGCATTGTGCATTTGTGTGTTCGTGTGCATATGTTTATATATGAGTGTACATATACACACGTATAAAAGTGTATTGGTTTTCCTCCCTCCTAATTTTAGCATGATTGTGGTGACATATGAGACCATGCCCACAAGACATACTTGTCCATCCACTGGTTGACGAGGTGTTGTAGGATGCAAAATGTCATTCTTTGGTTTTATGTAGCTTGGAATTGTCCAAATGAAACCTTTAAATGCATTAATTAGTTAACATTCCTAGTCTGACTAATTGTATTTGCCTCAAAGGGGAACGGCTAATCAGTAAAGAATTTGGCTTATTGTAAATCAGTTTTCATGCCCGTTTTCTTTTCCCCTATGATTTCCATTTTATCATGGAAGAAGAGATATTAAGATGTTTACTTATCCTCAGTTTGTGTTGGTGGTGAGTGCTGAGTGGTGATGGCAGCTGCATAGGTTGGTGTTGGTCGCATTAGAAAGAGGCAATGGTAACAATAAATGGTGGTTGTGATGCAGCTTTGAAGGTGGGTCAACCATGTCCATAAGTATTCTTTTTCTTGTTGTAGCTTTTCCAAATTTAATTCAGGATCATTCTCTGCAAGTAAAGAGGGTGGCAACCAATTTGCAATGTATCTTTGACTGCCAATTATTATTGTTTATATTCTTTCCATCACCATATTGACTACCATTTCTTCTTACTTGAGGGAAGCAGCACACAACAAGTGCATGGTAAAAGCGCCAGAGGCGAAAGCTGGGATGTATCGAGTAAGGCCGCTGTCGGTTATAGACATGGATGTGATTCGATGACATGTTAGATTATGAAGGTGACTGATATCTTCTTGATGCTTTCTTGGGCAGACATGTCTTTGGGTCATCACCACCCCGACAAAAGAGGAGGAGGAGAAGGGAGAACGCCATCACCGATTCGTGTGTGTTCTTCACCCAACTATTAGTGGTACATAAGCAGGCTTTTCCTAAGGCAGAACACTCGACATCTTCGTTCCTACGCTTCAGATATCAATCGACCTCGCAGCCGTTCACAGCCTTCGGACGGATCGGGCGACAACAGCAGAGCAGTCGGCGGTGGCGGTAACGCCGGCCTCGTGACGCGGCTTCTTCATCTCCCTCGTCGACAAGTCCGCCGGCACCGACCTCGTCGCCCTCTCCGTCCTCTTCGGGTTCCGCCCGTTCTCGAGGTCCACCGCGACGCCGGGTTCCTCGGCCAGCGTGGTCTCATCCTTCCTCCTCCTCTGCAGCCTCTCGTTCCTCCGCGCCGAGTAGAGCTCGTAGAACCGTCCTCGTTCGAACACGGCGGGCGCGGTTGCCGCATCAGGGACGCCGTCACCGCCCCCGGCTCCCAGGACCAGCTTCGCCAACAAGTCCGACGAGATGCAGACCGGGGACTCGGTCCAGGGATGCGGTTTCTTAGGGTCCTCCGCTGGAGGAGTAGATGGAGAAAGAACCGAATTAACGCTCCGTGTTAGGACCGGGCGGCTCGGTTTGGTGGCACCCGGCGGGGCCCGGCCCGACTGGCTTCGGCGGGGGCGAAGGCGGCGTGGGGGCACCGCGAGCGACGGCCGACTTCGATGCATCGGGAATTCCAGATGCTGCCGCTCCTGCTGTACCAGGTTCATGTCACACCTCATATCTCTCTCTCTCTCTCTCCCTCTCCCTCTCCCTCTGAGCGGCTGGGTGGAGGAGAGGACGATGGCGGAGGATTTATGTGACGCCGGACTGCTTCTTGTGTCATTTAGTTATAATACCTAATCTTTTTAGGGGTCAAAAATAGGGAGTCAGTTACGGGGCCAATCTCGAAGACTTTGGAACGTACTCGTCCTTATCGGATAAGAAGCGACTGCCAACGATAAGCTTATCGGCCGATAAGCAAGAGTCTTTGACCTGTCGTTATAACCTATGCGATACTGATATCACCCATGCAGACAAGCACCTCCACATTATTCGTTTGGTTAATTACATATTCTTCCCTATAATTAGTTATTTTTAATATTTCAATATTTTTAATATTTTTATTTTTTAAAAAATTATATTAGTATCTTTATAATTATGAAAGTAAAATATATAGATCAATTTACTTTAATAACGTTAATTTTTTTGATAAAAATATGAAAATAAAGAGTAAAATTTTTTTTTAGCGTTGTGGCAGACGATGTCGATGGTGGCTGATGATGACGTCGTTGGCATCGGCACTGATGCAATTACTTGACCATCTTCGATGATGATAAGATCTACTCTCATCGCAACGTCACCTACCTCCACAACAAGCGCGTTATTAACCTCATCGTTGTTCGTCTCGCGTCGCTCTACATCGATGCAAATGGTGGTGGTCGTCACGATGTTTATGGCAAAGATGGTGGTCGCCTTATCGTTGATCCGACGGATAGATCGTAGCCTCGACCCCTCCCCCTTTGTAGTTGTGTTGGCATCTACGTAGATGCTGAGCGATCGCTGCACTAAACATCATGCTTGAAAATAGAGGGCCTAACCACCAACCTCCTCTACCTCCACCAGAGCAATCTGTCGATCGTGCACACTAACCTCAAACTCTCCAGCATTCTGCTTGGCTTACACTTCAAGTCCTACCTCGCCGACTATGCTCTCATCCCGTCCCTCCTCCTCTGGCCTCACCTCACGACCACATTACCCCCTCCTCTTTTGCTGCATCCTCCTACCTTGCCGACTATGCTCTCATCCTGTCCCTCCTCCTCTGGCCTCACCTCATGACCTCATTACCCCCTCCTCTTTTACCACCCTCCTCCCTCACCAATAAGACCCCCTTCCAAGACCTGGTGGGAGAGTGCGACGGCAACATCCCTCGATGGGTCCGCTCTATGGAGAGGAGTGAAATGACTCCGATGAGGATCCCAGGTTGTCCATGAATGAGACATGTGTAGCGATCAAGGTGGAAAAACAATCGTTGATGCAGGAGGTGCTATGGATGATTAGGGAGGCATTGACGAATGTAATTGTCTTATCCAATCGCAACGATCACTTGTCGACGAGGTGGTCGAACACGATGTAGAGCTTACCGAGAGAGCATGGATCGGAGGGTGATGGTTGCTCGGTCGACAAAGATACAAAAGGAGAAAGGTCCACCACCACCGATGCCATCGACGTCATCTATCATCACCGAACGATAAAATTAATTTTTTACCTTATATTTTTATATTTTCATCGATAAAACTAATGTCGTCAGGGTAAATAGACTTAATTGTTTCACTTTCATAATTATAGAAATATCAATATAACTTTTCAAGAAATTTAATCAATAGCTTTTCATTATTTGAAGCAAAAAATACTTCGAATTTCCTTCTTTTCTTTGATGTGATTCAGTTTCAAATATACAGGAAGGCAAATTCCAATCGGCCGAATCAGTCAAGGAGGTGCAGCAATGGAACTTAAGAAATATATACAATGGCATAACACAGAGAGAGAGAGAGAGAGAGAAGAGAGAGAATAAGGCTGCTCCATCAATTTTAGAGATTGACGTGCCATTAGCTAGTCGTCTGCTGGTGTTGTCGCATGTCGACGGGCATAGATCTTGAAGGAGGACCACAAATGCTCAAGACCACCTAAAAATATGCACCACAGGCAATTAAAACCAAGCTTTTACGCCCCCCCACCCGAAAAAAGAAAAATAAGAAAAAACTCTGTTTAGACATCAAGAAAGGGTGCATTCCGTGGTCTTACCGGGAGAAACACCAGTCCATGCAAGAACCCAATCAGAACCAATGCCAAATACATTTGGAAGTAATAAACCTACAAGACACGATTGCAAATTGGGTGAGAACCGTATTTTTGTAAACATAACTCTGAAAGGACAAGCCCATGATTTTATCACAGACCACAAAAACTTCTGATTTTGAGAAACGGAGGACAACTACTCCGACTAGCTTCGTGAGGGTAATTCCACTGCAAGAGAAAGAAGAAAAAGGAACTGTTAAGATTTTTGATATGATGATCTCGCAAATGCTACGATAAGGACAAATGGCTCTGGATCGACTTTGTACCATAGAGATCACAATTTCACGATCCACAGATTGTAATAAATGCATCAGTGTTTTTTTATCTCAAAAAACCTCAGTCGACTTTCAATAGAACTTCAGAAAAAATAAACCAAAAAAAGCTACAGCCGGAGGGGTAAATATAACAGGCCTACGATGATCGTCAGATAATGTCGGACTACTCTTAACATGTGGAACAATGTTAAAACACAATCTAATATCAAGCATACACTATCAAGAACCAATGAATTTTGGAGTTACAACGTAAGTGCAAATTATCGATGTTCAGATTAATGGGGTAATGTCCGCAGTAGCTTCAAAAGTGACATGATATTTGATTCACTAGTATATATCTTTTATGGACGACGCCTACAAAAACAACAAGATAAAAGAACAAAGAACTCACCTAAATACAGAAGCACCCATGGTGGACACAGCCAACTTGGTTCGGGTCCCTCTATCACCACTGCTTACCTGTTGGCACCGGATCAGATTTATGTTGGAATTCAGAAGCAATTTAAATACCCAAATTAGAAAATACAACTACCGAAGAACAAAATAATTTTTAAAAAATTTTTACTTAACAATAAAGAAGATCTAATGAATTCTCCCCATTCTCCAAAGTCATTTGTTATCTATAACTTGATGGTGAAAGCAAGGTTTGAAGTCTTGGCTGTATGGGCAAATACCGACAAGCATTTACTGGTCCAACAAGCTCACTGTTCCAGGCTTACCCAGTGGTAATCTGATATACCTACTTGTACTAGAGAGTAAGACTACATCAAGTACATGTACCAATACCGACTCTTTTGTTCTATGTACAAGGATATGATAGTTATCTTATCCTTTTTCTTAACTCTTCCATCTCCTTAAATGCCTTCTTTCTCTCCACCTCCCCCTCTTTCTTTGGGTCTTCTCCTCTTCTTCTTTTCGTCTGCCATCTCCTTGATTAAGCCATCAATGAAATTGTTGCTAATGAAATTGTTAAAACCATCCATTCTCTATATGCTAATGAAAGCTGTTTTGGACACCAGTTGAAGATGTTAATATGCCTATATATTTTGGAGAAAGCCTCATCAAGAGGATTAAACATAGGACATCTTCAAGATGAAGAGGGGAAAGAGATGAAGGGGAACCAGTCACTAGACCGAGGCCTTCTCTCTCTCTCTCTCTCTCTCTCTCTGCATCTCCCTAAGAAAAAAACAAGTACATACATATTGATAAAAGAGAGAATAACGTAAAATAATGAAAACTTTTCCAATGTATATCAAAATGGAGATGAGAAATTTTTTCAACTCACCAGAATAGGATACATTTTGTTGGATAAAATGATCCTTAAAAAGAAAAACCATTTGATTGCAGATTTCAGTTGGTCACTAAGTAATTCAGGTTAGACCAAAAGAAACTTGATCTCGAAGGATGTGGTGCTCAAATCATTAGAGATTGAACCCTAGACAATGATGTGAAACCAAAAGAGAAGGTGCCCTATTTGTCAATAAAAAAGAAACTAAGGTCTTGGAAAATTGGCTTAAATTGTTACATAGAGACACTGTTGAAAGACACTACACTGAGTTCTAAAAATATGAAACAAACCTAAATTTGTTTGACAAGAAAACAAATAGCCAGAAAACAAGTTTTCCCAACATCATATCCATATGACTAACAAACATATTTGATACTCACCAAGAAAGCGTGTGTTATATGAACACAAAACTCGACAGCAATTCCTATCGACATCACAAGGTTTACAACAGAAATTGCATTCAACTGAATGTCCAAAACAGCCATGATTCCCTGCCATGATATTTGTGTTAGAAATGTGAAAATGTAAAGTTTTTTATAGATATCAGCATAACAAGAAATGAAAGAAAACAAATATAACATTAAGCCTTTCATAAAATCAGACTCAGCTGTGATTGCACTCTGCAACTCACATATGGACCATAAAAGAATAGAAAAACAAACATATTTATAAGATATATTCACAAGATCAATACTAAATTTTATTCAAATAACTTGCAAATGAGTCATACTTGTTAAACTTCCTAATGAAGTTTTCTAAACCATAGAGTATGCTTGCTTGTCAATATATGAAGTTTACCTTGGTTCATAGAATTCTGCACTATTTACACCTGAAAGTTATCGGTTGACTCTACGAGTCCATGATTATCATGATTTTTATTGGTTTAAAGTTTAAACAACAAGGATCATATGCCAGACAATAAAGGGATCTTGAAATATGCTACATGGCAAAACAAACAGTCAGTTAAGTACCCTGATGTGATGAATACAGTAATTTTAATCATGATGTTGGCTATATATCGTAATACCATGTGATGCCAAAATTAGGGATCATGTTGAACCTGTACTGCTTTGAAGTTTGATCAACCAATGTTCACAAGGCTACTTGAAAACAATGCTTATATTACATCAGAAAGTCATCAAACAATTTTTAAAATAATTTGTAATAAAATTTAAACTTGACTAATGTTAAGCGGCTAATGCTGAACTTGGTAACAGGATACTGACGGAGCAGTGTATGATGAACAGTAATTTCCCATGGCTAGTGTATTAATTTCTTCAATTTGGAATTGTTGCAACACCAAAAATTAATCAAGGAAATTGCTTGGTGGGTGTACTAGCTACACATCATAGTAGTGAATCCGGTCCATATCGAAGGCACCACAAAATAGAGGAGAAGACATTGTTATCATTCTGTTTGCCATTTACTGCAAACAGAAAATAGGGAGAGGAAATGGGAGGATAGGGTAGCTCTTAATTCTTAAGGAAAGAAAATATCATGGGATCTAGAACAATTTTCAGATGTAGTAAATACACTTTTCAAATGATATTTTTTTTATTTATCTTTGCATTACCCTATATTTCATTTGCATGGTGATTAGAATAAGTACTAAGTTCACATTGGGATCCATTGATAACTTCAAAATTGTAAGAATATAAGTTTTGGGATTTTTGTGTGACATATATAATATTTGTCTACAATATGATGTGTCCGTATGAAATAATTTACAGATACTGTAGATAATTTTAATGTATTAATCTTCATAATTTTCATTGTAAGTAGATAAGTTTTGGATTTTTGTGTGGCGTATCTAATATTTACCTACAAATTTGTGTCTATATGAAATGATTAACAGATAGCATAGAAAATTTTAATGTATTAATCTTCATAATTTTCATTAAAATATTTTAAAAAGCATATACGTTAGTTTTGCATGTTTTTATACATCAGACAATTTATGTCAATCCATTTCAATCAAATTTTCCAATTTGATCATATCAGAGCATATGAACTATGCTTCAAAGCCATTCATTCAAGATGAGTTCAATGCATTAGGTAGAAGATTTAATATGCACTCTATATAGGTCATTACACCTGGAGTGATATTAGAATTCTTGACTTGGCTCAAAGAAAATTTCTTGGGTAAGAGATTTCAGTTTCTAAAAACATGAAAATAAAACATTTCAAAGGTCATTCCTAGAAGACTAAATAAATCTACCATCAATGCGGGATCTGGAGAGGGTCTAAATATAAAGATCCTATCCTCCTATTTGAAACTAGTCTTCCATCTCATACAAGAGTCACCTTACCCTTGCACCAAAGCCCACCCTCTCTATGAGAGAATGACTAATTTTCCTAAATTAGTTCTCTCAAGCATTCACTTTGCTATATGCCTGTTTATCTATTGCTTGTCAAAATTTCCTATTAGGCCATTGTTAGAATTAGGAAGCATATTTTAAAATCGCAAACAGAAGTGCAAAGGGAATAGTGTTTTGACAGCTGTTATATTGTCAACATGAATGATATGGAGCTTTTCACAAGGGGATATTATATTGTCATAAAAGAAATTCCTTAGTGGAATCAAGAGGTTCCATGGGCTGTGCAGAAAACAGTTACATTCCCACCAATTTATTGTTTTTATATATTTGGTTAAATGCCTAGTTTGGAGAAACTAACTAATGATCAGGATTGCTAGCTCAACTCTTTATAATTTTGATATTTAAATAGGAGAAGTATTATGATATGGTCTGCAAACTCATTTATCATTCAATTAACCTTTACTGGCCTCCTGACTCTTCCCCATGTAATGTTAAAGGACAAAAGTATACAATTTCATGAAGACAAATATAAGGGATTTTTGTTGTTTCTTTCTACTATAAATTTATAGGTTCACTAAGTCCTTGCAAGTTCATCTTAGGATTGTACATCACTATAGACTGGGTTATCAATAATCTGACACACATGCGGCAGTGAGCAAAACAAAGAGAGAAAAAAAGAAGCAACAGGCACATGAAGATTGGAAGTCTGACCATCACTTTCCTTGATCCCTCCTTTTTATCATCCATTAAATATATCTCGTCACCTATTCTCTTGGCTTCATTTCTCTAAACTCTGTATAATCCTTATCTCATCATCATAATGGAAAAGATTTGTAGGTACTTTCTATCTTTGCATCAAGTCAAATAACATAAAGCATTTCTGAACAAAAACGAACATTCATCTTTATCAAACTCTTAAACATATGTATGCTTCTTTATAAGTTGCTTAATTATTGCAAGAGAATCTAATTGAGGTATTTCAGAAGAAAAGGTGGTTGCTACATAGAACAACCATTGTTATATTGTCTACAAAAAGGCCTACCAAACAAACATACTTCATATTTAATTGTACTAATATCCTTGATCGTATTACATAATCTTTAAGTTTTTAAATTAGATAATATGTTGCTACAAATTTGCAAAACATATGCATAACGGATGATGAAGAACTAAAAACATATTCAAGTTTACAAGATAAAGAGTAAAACAGAATACTTGATAAACAAAACTGTAAAGAAAAAAAAATCAAAATTTTAAGTATTTATGGCTGTTCTAGGGCCCACAGTGGGGGAATTTACTTGAAAACATACCACAATATTGCAATTTCTAATAGAAACATGTATCAACTAAGCATAATATAAATGGCCAGATGGGTAACAAAATAATTGGCAAGGAGATGGTTGTTGGGAATAAATTACCAGCATATCAATGACAATCATTGCCAATACCAATAAAATTATTGCTGATATCCATATGCTGCAAAGAAAAGTGAGGCTTTAAGATTTCACATGAAACCAGGTAACAACTAATCACAAAGTTTATTCCATACCTGCTAGTGAGAACCAGGCAAACAACAAAGACAGCACCTATTTATATAAAACAAAATCCATCAGCGCTTATAACTCAGTTGCTACCTTCCCCTATTATAGTGAATACAACACTTCCAAAACAAAATTTTCTATTTAAGGCCTTTCAACTGAAAAGATACTTAAAACTATGAGTAGTTGCTTTCATGTTTCAAGTAACTCATTAATTTTATGCTAAACTTTGAAGAATATTTCTCAAAAATTGATGCCAAATAATAAACATCAGTCCTATGGAAGATGGGACAAAATCAGACAAGTATTTACAAAGCATGTCTAGAAGATGGAATGATGCAGATACATCTTTTGGCCAACATGGCACAATGCCTAAGTCCCGGATGACTTACAAGCAATACATGATGTGATTGCTAGCCGCAACCATCATTAATTTCCTATCTTTCCAACATGACTAAAGTTCCTGTGTAAGTTCAGATTATTACCATCCCTCTTCTAACTATCCTGCTCAACTGAGTCATTTGTCATCCAATTTTAAGCATTCCATATAACTTGTTTCTCCATTTTACAGCAACACCATTTACAAATTTGCTGCATGGAGTCTTGTCCCTCCTTCAGGCATTGTGTCTTTGTAGGCCCTCAAAGTTGGTAGGAAGCCACCCAAGAAAGTTCAGTAAGGTTCTTTTTCCTTCATCCTCTTCTTGAGGAAAGGTAACTTAGTTTTTTGGTTTCCTCCCACTTCTCTCTCCCCATTCAAAGAGAGGATTATCATGCCAATTGAGTGCACCATAACACAGAAAAACAACAAGCTGCTTCTCAAAAATTCAATTTTAGATCGTTTACAAGTTTGGCAATGATATCAGAGATGATCGGGCCTATTCTTGTTATTGACTAGGGTTCCTGCAGTCCACGTCCTCCTAGTTAACGCAAGAAGTTTTCAGGGTGCTTATTAAGGTTGACTGCAGGCCAATTTCATTGTTTCTATGAACCAAAACTTATTCTGGCAAGGGTGCAAGGCTTACAAAAGAAGATGCAAAGAATTCTGTGCAGTGTGTATTAAGTTTCACAGTTTGGATCATAAAGAATTCCGGCATGCAACGACTATTTTTAGGACAGGCTCAACTCATTACCAAATCATATTAAAGTGTAGTAGCTCATTGTGTGCTAACAATACTATGACCAAGGTTCACAATTTTGTGTATCAGTACAAAGCCTAAAAAGATAATGCCCAGTACAAAGACTGTACAACCTATACTGAGCAGTACCCTGCCGGGTACAACTACCGGTTTACCTGTCAGATACATACTGCTCGTACCAAACCATACCAGGTGGTATTGCAAATTTTGACTAGCACATAATATGCATCTTTATAATCCACATCTGACAAGGAGATCACGAAGTGTGATGTTGGCAGGTTAGATTTAACTAAAAATAGACTGTACGTAATGCTAGTGCCCTACATCCAAACATTTAAGTGCCTTCAGCATGCTAGCTGCTAATTGAAGGTTGAATTGGTATGTGGGTTAGAAAAAAAAAGGAAAGAAAAAGATCGACCATGACCATGATGTGCTAGTGTAACCTATAAAGAAAAAATGGAAAGGAGCGAAGGAATAGCCTGGCCCTAAACATGTTCCTCGGATGATTGTTGCTCTCTCTTTTGAGTTTTGTTGAGGTTAGAAATAAAATAAGACATCACTTGGATTTACTGTATTAATAATGGAAATGTCACCTGACAAAAAAAATAAAGAGAATTAAGAAAAGTAATAATCTAACTCTATACTCCATAGTGTAATGAACAGATGCTCGAGAGCTCGCATAGGCAGCCAGGCGAGGCTTGAGTGCTTCAACATGGACCAAGCAAGACTCCTAAGCTTGGGTGCTGCCTAGGCGAGTGCTTGGGCATGGGCATCATACAACTAATCAACCTTGTTAGGATTATCATATCGTTACTGAGTCAAGTTCACGCCACTTGAGTCAGGTTCGTGCCACTTGGTCTGGTTTGATCAAGTCCAAACTAAAACTGTAAACCTCCCCCGCTCCCCCCAACCCCTTCTTGGCAGCAAAACCATGACTGACAAATGACGATTCTGCTTGTTGTCAACGAAGGGTCGTCAACTCTCCTCCCTTTCAACGATTGACACTTAACCCCCCCATCCTCACTTCTCCCTTCCCCCCTCGTCACTGATAGTACATCACCTGTATCCTCTTTCTTCCCTCTCTCTGGCTCAAGCAATCCCCAACCCCTCCCTTATCTCTTCCCCAGCCTTCACTCTTCCCACTCCTCTCTACCTTTGGGGCTCTAGCAATACATTCACCCTTCCCATCTTCTTCCTTATCTAGCAACACACTCCCCTCCCCTTCTCCATTCTCTCTCTTCGTATAGTGATTGCATTTAACCAAAGTGAGCAGTAATATCATTTAGCAATAGGTACCAGTGTGTTTAATCTGTGATGTGTTAGATGTTAAACTTCATGTGTATGTGTCCAAATTTCACACATCCAAAAGAAAAAGGCAAGCGTAGGTGATATAAATTTGGTGGCCCGCTACTGGTAATTTGAGATCTGCTTACAAGTCCCACTTTATAGATGTTACCAACTAGTATGTTTCTTGGTTTTGTTACAATTGAAAACAGATAATTTTGTCCATACATTACAAACTGGGATTTTCTTGGTTAAGCAAGGGCTCAGTATAGTTTTGGGGCCCATAATGGACTTATTGAAGCAATAATGTGGATCACACTCCTTTGACGATGCAAGGCTAAAAAAAGGAATATGTCAGAACTTATGTAAAGCACATGTCTGATCCCACATGAGATTTCGCATTAAATATTGCAGATGCTTGAATGATAAAGGAAAAATAGCTCTATGATAACCCACTAGGATGAGGTCCTACATCATTAATAAACTACGATTGCTTTATTACAAGAGAATCTACATAACCATGATATAGCAAAAGATAATGAGAAAACTTACCAAGGCCAATTGAGATGTTGATCAAAGCAGTCCTCCATATATCTAAATATTGCTCAAAAAATATGTAAAACACTGCATACGGAAAGATTTCCATCTGCATTTAAATCATTCATTAATGCTTATGCAAAAAGAAAAATTCTTACATCAAAATTTCTGCAGTTCCCAATATAAGAGAACAAATGAAAGCTAAAAGAAAATTATGAATGTATAACATGGTTTTACATTCCAAAATCCATAAAAACACTATAACACATGAGACCATACACCTAAAAGATTAAGCTTATAGACATACAAGAAAAATTTAGAAAACCATATGACATCTATAAAATCTGCAATTAAACAAGTTAACAAGAAAACATAATGAACAGGTGAAGTACTGAACTAATCACTATAATTACTAGCTATGTACTTTTGCAAGACCTTCACATTTGCTTTACTGATGATACCAGGGTTTCAAATACCGATTAAACCAGTATATGTAATAGCCGATTTTTATCAGTCTGACCAAGTACTCGTATTGGACCACCATGTAGGTGGGTACGGATTGATATTTGATTTTTGTACTATTTCTAACTTGATGCTGGGTCGTACAGGTCGGTATACCACCAGCAAATAGGAATGGTACTAATCTAATGGGTTGCCGAAGTATCAGACTAAGATTTAAAACCATTGCTAATACTATAATCTGCTATGTCCATCGAACTACCTCATATGATCACAGATAGGCTATCCCCTTGCGAACCCATGATAGCTGGGAATAGCTGGGAATAAGCTACACTTTGGTGCTCCATACATTTGCAGCCACTATATAGCAGCAACAAGTTGTTGTTCCAAGCCCTGAACTATCTCCTTCTAACATCTACTTCAATCCTGTTAACTGATCCAAATCGGTGATTGAAAAAGGCGCTCGGGCGAGGCGAGGCCCGAGTGCCTCGCTAATCTCCCAGGCGGCGCGCTTCAAACAGGCGCCGTCTGGGCGCTCGCCCGAGCCCAGGCACTGGGCGCTTCGGGCGAGCGCCTGGGTAAACTAAGGCGACTGAACCAGGATTTTAGGTCTGGTTCGGTCCTAGTTCGGTTGGTTAGTTGGTTCAATCGTACTAACTAAACCGATATAACCCTTACCCAACCCTAACCCTTACCCAACTCTAACCCGCTGCCGCTGCCACTCCCGATCCTGATCTCGATCTCGCTGCTTGCCGCTGTCGCTGCTGGCAAACGCTGCTGTTGTCGTCGCTCGCGCCTCCCGCTGCTTGTCGCTCTTGTCGCCGCTCGCCGCTGTCGCTACTCGCAAACGCTGCCTCTGTCGCCGCTCGCGCCTCCCGCTGCCGCTGTCGCTGCTCACAAACGCTGCCTCTGTCGCCGCTCACGCCTCCCGCTCCCTTTCCTGCTGCCGCTGCCGCTGCTACTGCTGCTGCCGTTGCTCGCCGCTCGCCGCTGCTTCCTCGTTTCTCAATCAGCAGGCTCAGTATACAGTATACTGTTAATATTAAGTTTATTTGAAATGATTAATTTTCAATACTGTTAATAGATTTTCTTAATTTAATAGCATATTTTTATTTAAAATTTTAAATAATTATATTATATATTTTTATATTTTAGCGCCTCGCTTCGCTCAGGCGAGCGCTTGGGCTAGCGCCTAGCGCCTAGCGCCTCGGGCGTTTTTGGACCTTGGCGCATTTTGGCGTCTAGCGCTTTTTAAATCACTGATCCAAATAACCTTGAAAATGACATCTTAACTGTGCTACAATTTGACTTATTATCTTGTGAAAAGAATGCTTATAGCATAGCACATTGCTCTCAACAAAGTTCAGTGGCCAGAAAAGATTCATAGAGCCAACACCAAATAATTGGGACTCCATGGCTTGTTTTAGAACTTTAAAAGAGAACTCCTGAGTGTGCTTCCTGAATGGTCCTAAAAATGGGCTAATTATTTGACCAATTCCCTCTTGTACTAAAACAAAATAGGATTTTTGGTGTTCTTTAAATTTGTCATGTCTGCCACTTGAACAGGTCAAAAGACCATGTGGTGTTAGACCATAGATAGCAACACATTTTATGCTCTGCACTGTTGTTTTGATCATCACATGCCCACACAGGCTGAACTGTATAGTGCTAGAAAGGTATTGAAAAATTCCATTCTGATTGTGGCCAAGGTACCAATGTATGGCACAACCAATTTTGAAACGTGTCAATCAAGAAAAAGTTTTGTAGAAAAAAAATGTCATTCATCTCAACACCATGAAACTCTCTAGTGGCATTTAGAGGAAGATCCCCATGGGTAAATGTTGACATGTAGAGAAAATAAATTAATTCAGCAGTTCGAGTTCAAGTGGTCTTGAGACTGATATGGCACAAAAATTCATCATGCCAGAAAAATATTCACACAAAATGACAATCATTATAACAGTGTAATCAGAATTATACCAGGTATCTCAGAAATTAATGCATCATACCTTCAGTGAATCAGACATCTTAGAACTGAAATCCCGTGCAGCTTTCATTGAGTTCACATAGTCACTCTGAAGTGAGAAACAACAAAAAATTGAAGTTCCAAGAGATAACAATTAGTGATGCTAAAATAGTTTTGACCCATGGTCTTACTTGTTTATTAAGTGGCGTATGATAAGTACGAAAAGCCGATGCTTCAATTATACCACTTTCATAGCCTGAAATACACATAATCATGAAATTTGCCTTAGCTAAAGTATTAAACACTTCGTCCAATGACAAAGAAGGTAGACAACATAGTACAGACCAGAGAGATCCACACTACTTGTGTAAGCTCCTTTACCACCCTTGGCACAATTAGAAGATGGCAAAGCATTGAGAAACCAAGGAAGCTTTTCCCTGAATTGCACTGTTGATGGTCGACCATCGTGCAAATCTAAATAGCGGAAGCACTGAAAGCACAAAATATCGTAAGTTTTAGAACATCCAATAACTGGATCAGACCATTTAGGATACAATGTTTCAGAAAATTAAGCTCCTGAAACAAAGAAATAATAATTTGATAAACTATTACTATAGTATCAATCAACATCAAGTTTTAAATTTTAATATTATAAATGATTGCTTTGAACTGAACACTGCAAGTGTCATATCTTAACAATTTTTTAGGTTAACGAACCTTGTCCATCTTACTCTCACAATGGGTGCTATTTGTTATGAAAAAACTGGCTGATGCTCACAGCATATTCAATAAACTTATGAAGATGGGAAGATGTCATACCGTAGTACAATCTTTGCATTCTATCCCTAAGGTGCATGATCCATCATTTGGTTGGCAACAAGGAGGCTGAGAGCAAAATAATCATGTAAGCATATAAACTAGTTCAAGGATGATACATCTCATAGAAGTTTCTTCTAATAGTAATGATTGTCATAAAAACTAGTGAACACCAAAAAAAGAGAAATCATCCACAAAAATTGAAATTTTTGACAGAGTTCCCATGCTGTTCAATATTTAGCCAATGAAAGAACATGTAACTGCTAAACAATCAGATCGTAGCTATATTTACAAAGTACAAAGTACAAACAAAAACAAGTCAGCTCTAATCTTTTTCCCTGAATAGTTGACTCTAGCTAAATCAATAGGCCAATATTTAGTGACAAACTAGCACCCGACTGGCACTGTCAGAAGGGAATCTGGAGTAAGTTTACTGATTAAAGCCAAATCTAATCAAATTCGAATAAATTTGTGTATGGTATATTATGAACTAAGTGCTCTTTACTTAATATGATTGAGTTTATGCCAGTAAATAGAAGCTATAGATACATGATATATACAGCAACCATGGTCAGCTATCATTGAATTGAAAATATAAAAAAATAGAAGATCCAAACAACTAAAGCAATTGCTAAACAAGTTCCTTTACTTTAGCTTCAGATAAATAAAGCTGAAGGCCTAGGCATGGTGAAAGGTTTTCAGTTTCAGGTACCAGACCTTTTTTGATGCTCTAACACATGGGCAGAAGGTGGCCAGCAGGGCCAGAGAGGGGTAGGTGCTGGAGCCGACGGGCACTATGACAGGTGATGGGCATGGGCAGACTTCGAGAGAGAGAGAGAGAGAGAGAGAGAGAGAGGTCCTGAGGGCTGTGCGTTGGATTATTAGAATTAAAAGAAAACTGTTCACTTCAAAAACAAAGAACCAGGCTAATCAGATTGTAAGCTCTATTTTCAAAGTGGACCACTGGTTCAGGATGGTCCGCATGCCAGTAACCTGCGCATCAGTATGTACAAGGTGGATTGGTAGAACCATGATCTCCACATTATTCCTTTATGTCATGATACAACAATAAATGCAATGAGCTACACCATATGTATAAATCGATAATCTATCTACATCCAAGTGTAAGAACACACTCCATATATGTACACGACAACAAAACTACAACGAGTGAATAGGGGAACTAATAAGCTTACTGGTAGACCTAGTAAGATCAGTAAAATCATTTTTACTCTGAATATCATAAATACTCAATTGCAAAGCAAGGCAAGTTAAAAAGCCATACAACCTGATCATCAGGAGGGCAATAGCTCCCATTCACAAACTCCCGACAGCAACTAAATGCATCTGGGGATAACCATATAAGAAAATCATCAAGCCATGAAGCAGCAGGTTTAGCGATATAACTTGATGCTGGTACCAATGATGCTTTTGTAATCTGCTTAAGAGTACATCATAGAAAATTTTAATTAGGCAATAATGGTTTGCCAAGTTCAACATGATCACTAGAAGCAGACACTACAACCCCTTAAAAATCAATGAAATATTCAAAGCATAATTGGCATTTAATTTAGGTTTAAGTCAGTGACGAGAAAATAATTCATTAACAGATATGTTGATTAGTTAATCCTCAAGAAACAGAATAAATTGTACCCTACACCCATCAATGCACTAGTTTTATCTGTAAGACAAGATTATGATGATGAAAACAATCAAACCTCATTCAAAAGAGAATTTGAATCACATTGGCTGATTGAGCATATTTGGTTTGTATTTCTTGCTTCCAAACTGGAAAAAGAAAATTAAAAAATAAGGTTCAAAATGTGATGACTATCCTATGGCACCGTTAATTAAAGCTAATGAAAAAAAAAACCTGTAGTTGAAGTCCTTTACAACAAAGTATAACGGTGGTCCCACTCTGAGATACTTTGCAAGATCATCAAAATAATCCTGAGAATAGCACAATAGCAATCATGTAATTAAGTTGAGAACAATGAAGATTGAGTATCTTGCTTCGCCAAGGTAAGTAAACATAGATAATACTCCTTGAGTGCACCTGGAGATATGAGTTACGAGGAAGGACAACTTTCTGCTCCAAACCAGGTTGAACTCGAGTACATAGTGCCTTACATATTCCAAGGAATAGAAAAGAATCAGTATCCACATAGGAGAAACTAGTTTTCATTTGTTGATTGTTAGATAGCAAAAATAAGATCCAGATACACAAGTTTGGCACCATGGATCATTTTTGTTGCAATACATCAAAGGAAATCAAATTATTACAGTTTGCAGTCAAGAATTTGGAAAAGAACTTGCATAAAAGATAGCATAAACAGAAGATAAATGTATGAATACTTGATGACAAAAGAGAAATATAGCAATGTCCAACAATAAAACAAAAAACACGACAGCAAACAAAAAAAGACATTGGAAAAAAGTCAGCATATACACAAATTAATTATGTTTGCATTAGGTTAGTTACTGGAGTCTTATTATTGTGACAAATTTCATATGTTTTATAAACAGCACCAGTTCATTAATAACAACAATGTACAAAAGGAGAAAACAAATTAAATTATCTTGAAGCAGACATGCAGAGGTCCGACACTCTTCCAAGCAAGTTAAAATCTAACTCCAACATGCTAGTGAGAGGTTTCTGTTAACCAGAGATTGTTTACTTTATGATAGGAAGAAAGCCTGCACCAAACAACTCCTTTAAGGAAACTTATGAACAGTCAAAGAACAGCAGTCAGAGAAAGGCTTACCAGAAATCTTGTACATGATTTATCACCAAAATATATAATAGAAAAATTGGTCCTTATCTTAAGGAGTTGTTTGAAAGAGTATACACGAGGGCTTACTGTGCAGGAAAAAAAGACTGGCATACAAGGAACCATGTCACCTGTCTCACTGTCTCACCTGTAATATCACTCTCCTATTTTGTAACAAGACTAAGCCATAACAACAAACAAATTATCCTGTTGCTGTTACCAACAACTGAAATGAATCAACTAAAGTCTAAATATCACTATACATGGAAACTTGCACCGCTCCACCCAACACTCAATATGCATCAGCCGATGACTGAAAACAACTCTTCACCTAACACCTCTGAGAGTATCTAATCCCTTTCTAATTGTTTCTTGACACAATGGTAGCTTGGACCAATTTGTGACTTGATCTCACTCAACTGAACTAAAATTTCTTTTAAGTCAGAATAAGCAACCAGCACCCATCTCTGATCTTAGATTAGGATATTTCTACAGTGCAGCACACCAATCAGTTCTTCACTCTCATTTCATCAGTTCACCTATTTTATCCTCAGCTCAGGCACACTCCTTCCCATGGTCTGACAAGCATCCAAAGGCTTATGAGGTATGTCCTTTTTGGGTCTCTCTCTCTCTCTCTCTCTCTCTTGCTTACATTCTCTCTTTTATTTTTAACTTCACCCCACCAGCATGCCAACATCGACACAATGACATGCTGAACCATGCTGACAACACATGCCAGTCTATCTGCAAGACGACATTGAAAATGCAGCATGTGAGCAAATATCCTAAGTTTTAAGTGGAGCATTATCAATACTAGGTTTTATGAATCCAAAGATCCTTGTATGGAACAAGCAAACTAAAAAGAAGAAAAAAAGATAGACCACTTTTGCTTCAAAAACTAAAGACATTAAAAAGTACATGATATCAGCTGTTAGGCTCAATAGTTAAAGATCAACAATGTGTATCATTTTGGACTATCAAAGATTAATCTCAAACTGTGTCCTATAATTACCTAAGTGCCATACGTCTGTGAAGTTTCAAGGCACATCTGGATAGTATCATATCAAGCTAGACAACAATTCAAGGCAGTGCCGTAGGCATCCACAAAAAGAAATCCAAAAAAAGGCACCGTAGTCGTCCAGAATTTAGAGCTAATCATGGAAAATGGTGTCCTTTCAAGGCTTCTGTGCAACAGTTGGGAGTTGCTGTAACTGCCTTGGGATAAGGAAGCAAAAACAGAAAGAAACTCGTACATAATTATTTGCTGAAAAAAACTCAGCAGCATAATAGGAATTCTGACACTGAAAAATACAAATATGAAGTTTCAAAACAATTTAAACAATAAATAAAGCAATAGAAGTAAGAACTTCAGTATCGTAAGCTCATGTAAGATATCCAAAAAAGAACACAGCTTACTGTCAATAAGATGTTTGGTTTTTTCCATAATGACCCCATAAAGGGGCTAAATCATGTGCCAATCTATAAATCCAAGAGGTGTTTTGATGCACAGTAGAACATATAATGAGCAATAAGTACTAGTAGTACACCACATGAAAAAAAAGGCAACTGCAAACATTGGCCAGTATCGTACAAACCATAAACCTCAACCTTTAAACAGTCTTTTAATTCCTCGGCACAATTTACAACATGCATAATGTCTAATTTTATTGGAAACATTCAATCAAAAAATGTATCATCCAATAAGAGACTATAGCTCTAGTGATGCAGTTCTTCAACAACTACCAAGTAACTAAATCAAAAAATTATACACAGCCTATACTGTTATAGAGTAACTCACAATGCTTGCAAAAGCAAATCCAACAAAGACAGCTATTACAATAATTTTAACTCCCCAAAGGCTAAGAAGAGGTGCATGAACTTCCTGCAATATATCAATGGAAATCCAAGGAAATGGTTACTAAAATCAGGAAATACTAACCAAAGACCAAACGAATTCAAACTGGAAATAGAAATGTACAAGCCCAACATTATTTATATAAAATTTCTTAATCTTTTAATGGTGCAGCACACATTCAAATCATAAACTGACTGGTAATGTAACAAAAGCATACATAAATGAAATATATTTAATAAAAATGTGATAGAAAAGTGATTTTAACAACAAAGAAATTGGTGAATCAGATTTGAACAAATTTTCTAGATACTCAGTTGTCCTATTGTAGATTCATCATGACAAATTATAGGCATATTGTTCAATGAAACCCATCTGGACAAGGAATCATCACTACAGTTGGTTGTCATAGCCAACAAACTGCTACTGGCTAACAAGAGGCTAAAGCGAGTGGCGAACAATGAGTGGCAGCAAGAGGCTAAAGGCACTCACATTCCTAACGTTTTGATTAACCGGGTTGGCGCAGACATGTTTTGGTGGGTCACAGCAGACCACCCAAAATGGGGGCAATTCGCATACTAGTTCATGCTCGGCCCGAACTAGTACATACCATCCATTTTGTACTGGTCCGAGCGAAACATCCTTGAATACTACTTTAGGATAGAGTAAAAGTTGAAATAATTTTTTTTATTGAGATTCAACAAGGGGTCATGTACTTTATAGAATTTACAAAAGATTGGAATGATAGGATGATTTTTATGCAGTCCTTACATGCAATATAATTCAAAGTTATAAAATTTCAAAGATTTATTTTATTCCAAGGAATAGATTCAAAATTAAACTAAGGAATAACAAATATAAAAATAAGGGATTTATTCATAAAATTTGTGAAAATATCAACTAATCCGAGGGTGACTTGTTGCAATCTAAGACACAAAAAGAGACAAAGATATGGAACTGAACTAATTCTGTCAATTGATTTTTTCTTGCTGTCATATTTTGTAAAATTGAAACTTAGGTATGTGTTTCTCAACGTATGTTGCAAAAGAAAGTGATATGATTCACAGTTACTATTTGATGAATTTCATATTTGAAGCTGCAAAAGTCAAATCCCCGCAGACTCCATGAAAGAGTGATATCCTAAACCACTACATGAAAGGTCAGCATGATCATGATCATATTAATGGATTTATATATGTATCTATACATTCAAAGATAAGTACATTGACTAGGGTATGGTTACTCCATTGCAATCAATGAGTCTGAGATTTGAGTCACCAAAACAACCTCTCTATATTAGCATGGCTGCATATATTGACCCTCCCCAAATCCCACGTTGAAAGGAGCCTAGTGCACTGGGTAAATACATTAGGTTTGAGTTGCACAAAGAAAGTGTTTTCTCATCAAAGTTGGAAAAGGAAAAAAAGGAAAGAACTTTGAAGAGAAAAAGTAGTAAATAATTCGGAAAATAAAAGTAAAAAAACAAAAGAAGAACAAATCATTATTCTTGACTGGGAATTTGAGTAAGGAGTAATTCTCTGTTTGTAGGGTTTTTCAGACAAACTTTTAAAAATCAGAAAGAGTTTAAATCTTTTATCCAGTTTTTTCAGAACATCTTAAAAATCAGAAAGAATTTAAATCCTTTATCCTTACTAGGAATTCGAGTAAGGAGTAGTTCCTTGTTAAAGGGATTTCTGAATGAACTTTTAAAATTGGAAAGAATCTCATTATCAGTGTGCAAAATGCTTTTTGCTTCCACAAATTCAGTTTTCATCTAAAGGATTGTTCACGCTTGCTTGGAGGTAGAAGAAGTAACCACAAAAAAGCAGAAAATCATGTCGCCATATATTGGGAGCAAGAAATAAGCAGCATGCTTTCCCATAGTCTAAGTCAAGATTGGTTTAACGTTTGGTGTCAAAAAGAGAAAAAAAATTTGATGTTGACAAACCTAAAGGAATAAAAGAAAGGAAATTAAAATTAAATCTAAACACATGTCCACTGATACATTTGTCAAATAAAAAGGAAGTACAAGACTATACCTTCATATAACGTGCAAGCAACCCAGGATCTTCTTTGACAGTACCTAAACATGTGTAAATTTACAATATTTCATGTGGAGTATGAAAAAGTTAGCAAGAGATGCTTGTTAATGACAAAAGATTGAGACAGTCACCACTTATTATTACACACCTTCATCAGAGATCTTGCTTGATTGAAGTTTAATACATGGAACACAATCTACTCTGTCATCTTCAGCTCTTAAGAAGTCAAAGATTATCAGCGAGACAAAAGCTGTTACTTGCAAAAAGAAATCCAATAACACTGCCAGTGCTGCACAAGAAAAGTCATAATTAATTTAGACTCGCATTAAACTTCTCAGGAAAGAAAAGGAGGTATGACAATCAGACCAGCAAACATGGAGAAAACACGGCATGCTGGCATTGGTATAAAACTACCAACAGCAAAGGCCAAAACTTCAGACAAACTAGCAAGGGTGATGGATGGCCCAACTTCCACAAGTGCATTACTTATCCGTTCTTCTAAAAGCAACTCACACGGTTGGCGTTTGACAGCATGGACAAGGATACACATGTTATCCACTCCAACCTGGTACATATCACAGATGACAAGCAGTAACTAATAATAGTTCAAAAAAGAAAATACTGAAAATGGCAAAACTGAAATAACATTGAATGTTTTGCTAGCTCACAGAATGTTAGTATTAAAACCATAAAATAAGGGGAAAATGCTATGAAAATAGAAAAAATGTATATATGCATGTTAATTATTTGGACTCCAACTTTTGACCAGGAACCCCATTTTAACAGCATTAACTGTTTGAAGAAATGAAATTTTGAGGAACTCAGTATATAAAAGACAACAAAAAGGAAAAATATTTAATTTCAAGAAGTGAATCTAGTGGTGACCATCTTCCATGGATTCAACAGTACCTTCTAAGGAAACTATGTTTTGGTCCTCGAATAGATAATATGAGATGGTATCATGGTACAAACCTTATAATGGCCCTCCACTACAAGCCTTATGTAGATGGGGATCTGGTATTTTCTGAGTCCTTATATAAGGAACTACAAAAGAAATTTTCTCAACAAAGATGTGAATTAGGAAGGATTTCTCACAAGCATAATCAAGTGTGACAGTTGGAGGTTTTTTGTAACTTAAAAAAGAGAAATTTGGGGTCTATCATTGTAAAGGTGAATATGCTCATACTATGTTAAATTCAACAGGTTCCATATTCATGAAATATGAATTCTCACCAGCTGAATGTGGACAGAGAAAGGTTGTGAACAGAGAAAGAACACATACAGTGTTGAATGAAAGAAAATATTTGTCGATATTTAAATCATCCTATAGAGTTAGTCGCCATATAAAGGATTTCACCGGAAAGTGGATCAATTTCATGCTTACTCAATAGAGCACTTTGAATCGTTTATCACATCAACCTCCATTCATCAAAAGAGAAATTTATTGTGGATTTCAAGTAAAAGATATATCACCATTTCAATGATTTGGAACTGATAAAGCCTACCAATTGTTTTCTCCTGACTCAAGTTCTTATTTAGGTAAAAGGAAAAGTACATTCACCATATTTCGGATTAGAAAGTTTTCAAGCATAAAGTATTAAAGATTTATGTCCTATATGCACATAAGAAAAATGTAATGATTAGATTTAGAATAATCAAGGGGGTAGGTGGAATCAGAATCTTGCATACCTAGTGAAAAACAATAATGCTCTAATGTGGAGAAGATATTAAGTCTCACTAATCAGGAATGATCAAACCCAGTTCAAGGCTTAAGCCATACTCCAATTTAACTCAACCCCAGTTCGAGTTGTACTTCAGTTCAACTCAACCAGAGTTCGAGTCAAACTCTGATTCAGTTCCAATTTGGTCGAACCATGCTTAAACTCAAATCCAAATTTAAGGGTCAAATTGAACCCATCTAGCTCAATCCGAGTTTGACTTGGATTGGAGGGAGAGTTGGCCTCATAATCGGAAGTCAAGTTGGACTCTTACTGAAAATCCAACCTAGCTAGGAGTCCTCACTCACTCGGCTTGGAGTCCTCTCCTCCAAATCTATAAAGCCAGGGGTGCGTTAGACTGAATGAAGCATCAAAAGCCTGCAACAACAACTTCATCAGCAAGGAAGACATCAAGAAGCCAACCTTCAGCTAGCCCTAAGGAGAGATCAACAACCAGCCTCCAGCTACCTCTAAGGAGAGATCAATTTCTTCATCCATCCGCAGCCTCTTCTTCCTCAACTCTAGCAGCTGCGGCAACTCCAATAGAAGCTACATCTACCAAGAGCCTCAAGAAGAGATGTAGGCGGTTGAGGAAAGAAAAGGAGACAGCTCGAGGCAACTACAGATAGCAACCTGCAGCCTCAAAGATGTCAAAGTTTATGCATGAGAAGTCCGAACTTTATTGCTTATGAAGTACTTTCAATAGTTCCGTGTTTAGGTACTTAATAATAACGAAATAGATTGTTTTCCCTTTTGGAATATCGTCTTCCTGCAATAATCTTCTCGAATCCTTGGTGAGACGTAAATCTGCTCAGAGAAAGGATCAAAATCATCGAGTCCTACTACCAAATATATCACTCACGCAAGGTTTGTCATCTCATACCAAGCATATTGATCTACGGCTGAGCCGGTCCATATAGATTGGTACCAGTGTACCGATAAATGGTACATCGATATATACCGAAGTGTCACGGACTTAGTTGGTTTTGCCTAAGTCATGCGGCATCCTTGCCTATCCGTCCGCAAAGGTCAGTCTCCCCGAAGCCTCCCATGATCCCTTAGGACCCACAAAAGAGAAAACGGGTTAGAGAAAACGCCTCACTCGGGACCCACAAGCAAATATTTCCGAGAACACTTCATAGACAATGCAAATTACAAACAGACTTTACAAACTCTGAACAGTTGCACAACAAAGGGTCAAAATAGTCCATTACAGACCGAAAATCTCTCACAAGTGTCCACATGACACAACCTTTATTTACAAGCCTAAAGTGGCCACCAACCCAACTAAAACGAGACTATTAAGCCTTCCGTCATCCCTTTACATGTTGTGCAAAGCATGAACATACCAAAAGACATGGACATACATAAGCATTACATCAAATATCCTGTTTAATAGTTTGTCCGTGACATTCTCCCCCACTTATTCCTTCGACGTCCTCGTCAAAGCCTTTGCCGACACTGCAACTCCTTACCTTTGCTAAGTCTTCAATCTTCTGCTCCAACTGCAATGCGCCTCCTGGCTCCCAGCTGCTCTCCGCTGTTGTTTTTGAGTAGTCGAACCTTTGATCCGCCATGCTGCTTCCACCATTCCACGGATTAGCCCACCCTTGAGTCCGATCTTCATATCGACTCCAAGTGTGCCTTCATTTGTGTTGTTTTGGGTTGCTCCCCCACTTGATCTCGCAATGCATCGACCAATGTATTATCTCAAACGAGATCATGCGACGACTCCTCACCGCTTGCTCGGTCCATTGAGCTTCATAGAGTTGTTGTTTTTGAGGTACTCTTCCTCAACATGTGCGATCTGTTGCACATGATTCTCCTTCTGGAGAACCGGGATCTATCCCTCCTGGATAACTATCCCGTTGGAGCAACATCTCTCTACACTTCTTTCACTCTGAAAGTTTCGGAGACCACCATCCCCTTGGACTACTCCAATTTGCTGAACAAACTGTGCATTGTTCTACCTCCTGCAAACGCACTTGCTAGGTTGTGACCTCACGTCAATACAAACCCCGATGCACTACTTAAGGCCTAGCAACATGCTGAACTTGCTGCACACTTCAGCCTCCTACGGACGTATCCTTCACATGCCAAAGAGAAAGTTTTAATGCTCCATGGCGTCGAGTTTCGGTCGCCTTGGGATGGCCGTGAACATTCCATCGTCCGCATACAAGCCTATGCATGAGTACCGAATTCTTCGAGTTAGCAATTCCCCTCACCTCTGTGAGCTTTGCACAACTCTTTCGGTCGCTAAGCAACTCATTCCACCTTGCATGGTCTCATCCTTTACCAAGCGCCTCGCTTGCCTTGAGCACCATCAAGTATAGTTGTCAACATTGAGCCGTAGTTCAAACTCGGCCACCCCAACTTTTGTGCACTCCACATTCTTCCAAGCTTGCCTATTCTCGTGGTGCCTCTTCCGCGAAGGGTTGGCATTCCTCTGAATGCCAATCTCAGATGCCTGCTCCTCCGAGCGACTCCTTTTCCCTACATCTCTATGCCCGTTTTCCCCCAAACGGTAGCGCGTGTGCTGACTGCCCTCAATGCAGCCCCCCTAGGTCCCCCATGTTTGCATGCTAAGTGTTTCTATGAGTGCTTGTCTCGCTCTGACACCATTTGTCACGGACTTAGCTGGTTTTGCCTAAGTCGTGCGGCACCCTTGCGTGTCCGTCCGCAAAGGTTAGCCTCCCCGAAGCCTCCCATGGTCCCTTAGGACCCATAAAAGAGAAAACGGGTTAGAGAAAACGCCTCACTCGGGACCCACAAGCAAACATTTCCGAGAACACTTCATAGACAATGCAAATTACAAACAGACTTTACAAGCTCTGAACAGTTGCACAACAAAGGGTCAAAATGGTCCATTACAGACCGAAAATCTCTCACAAGTGTCCACATGACACAACCTTTATTTACAAGCCTAAAGCGACCACCAACCCAACAAAAATGGGACTATTAAGCCTTCGACCATCCCTCTACATGCTGTGCAAAGCATGAACATACCAAAAGACACGGACATACATAAGCAGTGCATCAAACATCCTGTTTAGAAGTTTGTATGTGACAGAAGACTTAAAGAGGAAGGTGAATAAGGAGAAGAGGGATAATCAGATGGTGATGAAGGAACAGGAGGAAGAAGGAAGAGAAAGGAAGAAGAGGATGTAGTGGAGGAAGAGGATAAAGGAGGAAGAGAATGAAGGAAGAGGAAGGATGAGAAGAGGTAGTGGAGGAAGAAGAAAAAACAAGATGAAGGAAAAGGAAGGAAGAGGCGAAAACAAAGGGAGAGGAGAAAGAGTAGAGGAGAAGAGGATGGGAAGCATGCTTAAAATCAATCGTTTTGTATCACTTCGAGCAAAATCAAAATCCATGCTCTTAAGCATGGATTGTGGTACCATTTGATATGGTACAAACCAAGGTTTTTAATTTCATATCGTACCGACATTTCGAGCTTTGCTCGATACAGTATGGTACGGGAGTACCGAGTAGTACACCAGGGTGTACAACTTTATATATATATATGTATGTATGTATGTATGTATATATATATGTATGTATGTATGTATATATATATATATGTATGTATGTATGTATGTATATATATATATATATGTATGTATGTATGTATGTATATATATATATATATATATGTATGTATATATATATGTATGTATATATATATGTATGTATATATATATGTATGTATATATACATATATATGTATATATATACATACAAGAGGCGTATGCTACCTCGGCGACGTTGCCTCCTTTTCTTCTCCTCGTCAAGTCAGACGAGGAGAAGAACACGATTTCTCCTCGTCGGTGTTCGGTGAAGACGTCGAACACCGCAACGTCTCCGGCCTTCGGCGCGACGCGACAAGGAGAAGAACACGGTCTTCTCCTCATCTGCGGCGTTCGATGAAGACGTAAAAGGTCGCAGACGTCTCCGGCCTTCGGCACGATGCAACGTAACAAGGAGAAGAACGCGGTCTTCTCCTCATCTGCGACGTTCGACGAAGACGTTGAAGGCTGCAGACGTCTCCAGCCTTCGGCGCAATGCGACGAGGAGAAGAACGTAATCTTCTCCTCATCTGCAACATTCGACGAAGACGTCAAAGGCCGTAGACGTCTCTGGCCTTCGGCGAAGAAGTCGAGTCGTCGTCTCTTCGTTACCTCCTGGATCGGTATCATTGAGGGAGGGTGGCGTCGGATCGAAAAGCGTTGAGGTTCTCCCGATTCTCCCTCTTCCTCTCCACTCTCACTCTCACTCAATATTATTCTCACTTTTTCTCACACTCAATATACCTAATCAGATATTAGTAAAAATCAACCTCATGATTTAGATAAAAGTGGGATTAGAATTTGAGATCGATCAAATTGCTCTCCAATTGAAGGTATTTGACTTCTTTCTATGTTTATTTATCATTTCCTATAATGAGAGGCTTATTTAGGATAATTAAGCATGATTAAGACCATTCTCTTATGTTTAGGCCTAATTATATCCATTCTCTTATGTTTAGAGATAATTAGGCCCAATTAAGGTCATTCTCTTATGTTTAGGTCCAATTAAGATAAAATTCAATTTTTTATCCTAATAACCGAGAATTTCTATTCATTTATGCTTAAATGCTCCTTATTCTTATTTAAACATAATTCATATATGAATAAATTAAGAATAAACCCTAAAATAGGGTTTTCTTGAATTTTGGGCCTTTATCCGGCATGCTTTGATATTTCATGTTGACACGAAATGGCTCCCAAGTATACTGAGTGTAAACTTGCATGAGATTTGCCAAAGTAAATTTACCTTATGTAATATAGGTATCACATTCATAAATTATTCTGGGAAATATATATACTAGGCACATACCATTTTCTTTCTCTCAATCAAGAGCCCTAAATCTTTATTGATGCTAAGAATTTCCCATTAGGGCCAAAGGATATGCCAAACAAGTGAATTTGATAAGTTTACATGAAAAAGGCCCTTCCCTTAGTGCAGCCACAAAAAAATTAAGTTCTGCGAAGCTTCGGAACAAAAGGTTGAATTACACATGCAACAAAAACTTTAAAGAGAACTTGGCAATTAGGGAAATTCATTTTAGTTCAAAATAAAGAGTATGGCTACTAGCCTGTAAAGAAGATTCCTCATGGAACTAGGATTACTAGAGAATTTGTAAAATATACTGAAACTTAGATCAACAAAATACACGTATCTTTAAAGTTGAATTTGCACCTTTTTTATTATAAAGTGTTAAGCTAGTACTATGAAACAGAAGTGATAATGAAATTCTAAAAGGAAAGAACTTACAGCCAAAACAAGAAAAGGAATCACTTCCATTATGATGAGGGTAGACTTGATACCAATGGCACTATAGAACCCGACTGACCCAAGAACAGAGAGCATAACCAAAACTACTCCAGATAGGCCAAGAAGCAGCTGGAAACATATTAAATGGGTGTCACAGAAGATAAAAACCAAAATGATAAAGTAACTTAAATTGACTAGACTTTTAAGCTACTATGAAGTGTGAATAAATGAAAACATAGATGCCAACCTCCCATAGCACCCAAAAGTTATGTGCACTGCCTGAAAACTATAAATTTTATGTAAATGTACAAGTATCTAAAACTTAAAGGCCATAAATTACAAATGCCAGGCTGTCACATCACAAAAGGCAAGTTCCTTCCCATAGGCATAAGTCACTGCTCACAGTACATGAATGGCTGTGTGTTGCTCCAAAATGTTGAAGCACAAGCAGTGTTGATTAAGGCCAGCATATCCTTGTGCATCAATAAAGCATTCATGCTAAACAAGCACATCAACATAAATTAGGCTTGATGCAAAGAAAAATTGATGGCACACACATAAAACCTAGCATTTAATCACAATATAGTATCAGAGTTTTACTTGTATTCCATGAACATGTATATGCATTACTATCACTTGAGATTAAAGAGTTATTTGAGCGCAGTCATATGAAATAAATATCTAAGGCGAAATAGAAGAAATAAATAGGCAATGTTAGCACAAAATGAACACATTTGACCAAATTACCAGGTTAAAAGGTACTTTAATGTGTTGGGTTTTTGTTACAAAACGAAAAGTACAGAGTTGGTTTGATTGGTTAACAGTTTTAATATGATCAAGGACTGACTTTTAGAGTTTATGACTTGTGCAAATAGGTGTCAGGCCAAGCAAGATGTGGTGATTAATAACATTTTGACTGCTCTCCTCAATTTTCCCACTCTTGTTATCTCTCTCACAAGACTCTTGATTATGTTTGAATCGAAAAAAAACTATGATCCTATCATTAATGTGATAAAACTGTACACTTTTCTCCATAAATTTGGTCAAAGAATAAACCAAGATCATTATCGGCGTGAAAATAAGACTAAGCAAACCGTTGAAGGCATATCACAAGCAAGACAATAATACAGATGAGTCAATTCAAGCACCAAAAGAGACTAAAATAGCAAGCAGGACTCTATTGATAAGTCCGAGCTATGACTAATCAAAATTATAAGGAAAACCCAAGATCACAGGTTATATGCAGGCCAGATAAGTCGGACGGTCAAATTTAGATGTTATCAAAAGTCAAAACTCAAAACTACTAAAGAGCAATTCCATATTAGTTAGAAACCTAATGAAAAGTATGCTTGCAGAAATAGACATGAGAGAAACGAACTACTACAGCTGTGACATCAGAAGAAGCACAGAGGAGGTACAAAGTTATTATTAAACCTAAGACAAAACTCAAAAAATTATGTAGTGTAATCATTACATATAGAATTCGCAAAAAGAAGAATTGTTTGCAACAGAATTTAAATCTTGGTGTTTCAGTAACCGATTGGACTGGTATGGTACCACCCAATATCACCAAAAATAAAATAATAAAAAAATATCAATCTGTATATACTCCAGTATCCTTGGTCGGACTAATAAATATATCAATCTGACAAATACCACCCTATATACTCCAGTACCCTTGGTCTGACTAATAAATATCAATCTGTCTTGACCAATACATTCGAAATTTGGTAACTCAATTTGCAGCCTCAACTTCAAATATTGTTCAATAAGGAGCAGGTCTAAGGATCAGCATTGCATTGTCATCATAATTTTTATAATTTAATTATTTTATTAAAAATTAGAAAAGAACAAAAGTGCAAAACTAAATCTCAATATTTGAAATTTTGAATATTAACATATAGAAAGCCATTTTTAGAAACAAAAAGTAAATCTTCATGCAACCAAATAACTTACATAAATAACTTAAAACACATGAGAGCAACAAGGAAGATTTAAGAAAGAAAGAATAAAGAATGATGATACCTTAGAAGAAACGAAAAAGGTGGACAAATGACCTCTATCTCCCAGCATGATGGATATGTAAGCAAACATTACAAGGTAGCTCACCTGTACTCAATTCATGAAAGATACAGCATAATGGACTTTTTCAGTACTTCGTGGATCTTTCTAGTATACATAGAGACTTTTGAGCAAGAAAGACGGAAACTGTTTACAATGGTACACTTACAATTATAGTTATCACATCAGCTGTACTTTCCCTTTTTAGTTCTTCTTGAATAGAACTTTCTGATGAAAAAGAAAGACTAAGATTTTGTGACTGCACCATTGGTACAAGCTCATCCTGTTATTGTTAGTACAAACATTGTCAATGTCGATCTAATATCACAACATAACAATATAGATGTTCCATTCCAAGTTTATCCACAATTACAAAAACAGCATAAAAGAGACATGAACACACAATAATGTGAACCAACAAGCAAGATGTACCCACAGAACATTGTGAATGTCTAAATATAAAATCTAGTCATTACCATAAATACCTGTTAACTGTAAGTTTATTTTGCTTTATAATATATACATCCTTATGCTGTTTTTTTCTTTCATTTAGATACGTCATAAAAGTTAAATGCTATAGACTTATATTTATTCCTCAAAAGTCAAAACAATGTGAATTAAAATTTGGCTACCACTTTCATGAATGTGATTGTACCAACAGCTTATTTTGACCCTATATTTATAGTGCATGTGATGTGTGACTGACCTACCACTGATAACTAGGGTTGTAAGCATTAAGTGTTACACTGTGAGATAAAAGTCAATAGACCAAGATGCTACTGTAAAAAGTAGCACTACAGCAACTTAATTGTTCAATTTTTTGTATGCTTAAGGCCCTATAACTTAACTGATGTTATGGACACATTAACTCTCAGCATAATGAGGAATAGGACTACTAACACAGTGACAGCAACATGGTAAAAGGCTATAGAAGTCCCATATCAGAACCATAGAGAAGGAATCTAGTATGAGAAAAATGCATAACAAATAATAAATTGAAAATGACAAAAATCTAGTATAACAAAATACCAGTTTACAGCAGTAGGTTCCATGTTCATGATAAAACATAATCCAATAATCATACTAGAGTCACCAGCAAAGAGATGACTTAAGAATACTGAAGATATCACTGCCTTAAAGAACTATATAGCATTATAATGGAATTCTAGACAAGGAAGATTAACCTGTATCAATCGAATGAAAGCCTTCTCCCAAGCAACAGCACTTCTGTACTCGGTGCTTGTTTCGTCAAGCTGATTGTTCACAGGATAGGTTATTACAAAAGCTGAGGCCTGTCCAGAAAACCGTTCAAATATTTATTTACTCATATACTTATCTGTCTAAGTTAGAGGCCTCTCCAGAAAACAGAAAGAAGCTAACGAAGTACCTCAGAGTAGTTATTTCCAGAAAATCCCCCTAATGCTGTGCTTGGATCAAGAGGAGCATGAAACGCACTCAGGCAGTTTTCGGCAGAAGAGAAATGCTGAAAATTGTGTAATCTCTTAATTATAATGAAGACATCAGCCAGACTCAATAAAAATAAAATTTAGAAAATTTTAATCTATTTGAAAAGCTTGTATTGACTCCAGAAAAGTATAACTGATGAATAAGATCCATGTAGCCGATGCTATATATTTTTTATCCAGTTGTTATCAAGACAGCACTTTTCATTCAAACCAACATAGAGCAACCAAAAGATTTCAGAAAAAAAAAAATATATATCAAAAATAGAAAAATTAATACTATAAAATATAGATTATGGTAGTAAATGGATTAGTTACTAAAATCTGCAACTTAATAATCAAACTAGATCGCAGCTTATCCCCTTCATCCAAGCTATCACTAGTTTAAAGACCCACACCAATAGAACAATGGATAATATTAATAACTAAAATATTAGATCACTGAATCTGATCATAAATGGATAACATCATGGTTGTAGCTAACCTGGTTTTTACCATAATTGGATAATCTGATTAAACAACAAATCATATTATCAAATTAAAAATATAATTCATTTGGTTGAGGTCAGACTGGATCTCAAATCATCCCCAATCCATTGCCAGGTCTGCTATGAACAAAGTGGGTATCTACATAACACAACGAAATTTTATATGCTAAGTTTAAAGGTGTTACCTGAAAACAGTATTGAACATGGTCTAAACCACCATAAGCATCATAGTTCTGAGGATCCATTTTGAAATACTGGTCAAAAGAGAATCATATTTAGTAGAGTAAAGATGTCCATAGTTATAAAAACATATGAAACATTTAGAAAAGAATTTAACTTTACATTGAAAGGAAGAATCAATTTGAATTGACATAGATCAATGTTAAATACCACATATCCATCTAGATTGTTTTACCATTAATGTCAATATGAATGGTTACATATGGCTCACAAATTCTATCTTAGTTCCTTCATAGTTCCTACGGTTACAACTATCTAAGTAAATTGATGAAAAAAAATTCCAGCACAATGCACCTGTAGAACACTCTGAGTAGCACAATCTTTACCAAGAGGCTTCAGGCAGATATCAGCAAGGGAAACCATCGATCCAGAATAATTTGCACGAAGATCATCAACCTTTCAAAATTGGAGAATACAATTACTTATAGAATTGACTTTAAAAGCATTAGCAATTACATGTATATCAAGTACCTTCTTTTGTAATTCAAAAAGTAGCTTTAGATTTTTATCAGTAATGATATTGGGTGGCCTCTCAGCATCTGAACCAGAAATTCCTGCTAATATAAGCTGCAACAGAGAAATTACCCTAGTAACATGTGAGCACAAGCAGGAAACTGCTCAAATTAAAATGAGAAAGAATACAATTTTGACATATAGATTAATCTTTTGAGAAACAACACATTGATAATACCAACAAGAGAGACAAAACTTACTAGTAAAATGTAACGACCAAACAGACTACAAAACAATAACAAAAGTTCCAGTTCATACTTCATAGAACATTCAAACTAGAACGTTTAAAAAGTTGCACAATCATGGATAGACAAAAAGTAGTTTAACTTTTCATGTAGTCCAACCATCATGAGAATAACATTTGTTGTCCAACTTGTACTGGGTTCTAGAAACAAAAGATGCAAAATTTCCAGAACCACTGAGAGACAAAGGAATCAGGAAATTTGCACCTGTAGTTGAAAAGTTCTGGTACCATCTGAAAAAGAAGCCACAGAAAAAATATATATATTCAGCAAAACTGTGTCTAGACAATGAATTGTGTTATTGTTCCATATCCCATGATAAGTTGAACATATTGCTCCAATAAAATACCAAGACAGGAATTATCCTCTAATGGTATGTTCTAGACCAACATAGTGTCACGGACAAAATTGTAAATGGGGTGTTCGACATAATGCTTATGTATGTCTGTGTCTTTTGGTTTGTTCATGCTTTGTACAGCATGTAAAAGGCTGGCAGTAGGCTTAGCAGTCCTATTTTCTTTCGATTAGTAGTGGACCATTTTGGACCTTTTGTTGTGCAACCGTTCAGAGCTTGTAAAGTCTATTTATAATTTGTATTGGCTATGAAGTGTTTACTGAAATGATTGCTTGTGGATCCCAAGTGAGGTGCTTTCTCTAACTCATTTTCACTTTTGTAGGTCCTAAGGGACTATAAGAGGTTTTGGGGAGGCTAACCTTTGCGGACGGACATGCAAGGGTGCCGCATGACTTAGGCAAAACTAGCTAAGTCCGTGATAGATGGTATCAGAGCAGGACAAGCACTCATAGAAACACTTAGCATGCAAACGTGAGGGACCTAGCGGGGCTGCGTTGAGGGCAGCCAGCACACACAACCGTTTGGGAGAAAGCGGGCATAGAGATGTAGAGAAAAGGAATCGCTCAGAGGAGTGAGCATCTGAGATTGGCATTCAGAGGAATGGCCAACCCTTCGCGCAAGAGGCACCATGAGGACAAGCAAACTGGGAAGAATGCGTAGCGGACAAAGGTTGGGATGGCTGAGTTTGAGCTACGGCTCAACGTTGGCAACCATACTTGATGGTGCTCAAGGCAAGCGAGACACTTGGTAATTGATGAGATCATGTAAGGTGGAATGAGTTGTTCAGCGACCGAAAGAGTTGTGCAAAGCTCAAAGAGGTGAGGGGAATTACTAACTCGAAGAATTTGGTACTCGTGCAAAGGCTTGTATGCGAACGATAGAGTGTTCGTGACCATCCCAAGGCGATCGAAACTCAGCGTCATGGAGCATTGAAACTTTTTCTTCAGCATGAGAAGGATACGTCCGTAGGAAGTTGAATTATACAACGAGTTCAGCATGTTGCTAGGCCTTAAGGGATGCAACGGGGGCTGTATTGACATGGAGTCGTAATCTAGCAAGTGCGCTTGCGGGAGGCAGAACAATGCACAGTTTGTTCAGCAAGGTAGAGTAGTCCAAGGGGATGGTGGTCTCCGAACTTTCAAAGGGAAGGATGTGAAGAGAGAAGTTGCTCCAACGGGACAGATACCTTGGTGGGATAAGTCCTGGTTCTCCAGAGAGAGAATCATGTGTAACGGACCGCACATGTTGAGGAGTATCTCAAAACAATTCCACAAAGCTCAACGGACCGAGCGAGCGACGAGGAGTCGTCGCATGATCTCGCTTGAGATAATGCATTTGGGAAATGTATTGCGAGATCAAGTGGGAGAGCGACCCAAGGCAATACAAATGAAGACACACTTGGAGTTGATATGAAGATCAGACTCAATGGAGGGCTGACTCGTGGAATGGTGGGTATGAGGACCATCATCAACTCAATGCAAATTGAGGAGCGGAGCAAATTGGGTGTAACTTGGCAAAGTACCCAAGCCGCATGAAGGGAGCCAGCATAGAAGATGAAACATGGAGCGAGGGGCATAGAGCTTTCCTTGAACAGAGGTCAAGAACATGAACTCTTACAGAGGCAAGATCAGGATCATGTTGTTCCATGGGTCCCTCATTATGATGCCAAAAACGAAGAAAGCTTTGAGGCACATGTACCTTTTCTCGAAGAAGCATTTGATGGAGGAACCAAGACGACTCAACTTGCGGAGGCGAAGTTGGGTTCAGAAGGTCTTGGCACGGGGCAAGAGGACGCGGAGGTGGGTACTCTTGAAGAATATGCCACAGTGCTGCCATTCAAGTTGCCATGAAGGAAGTGGTGCGCAGCGGAGATTGTGCTGGTAGGGGCAAAGGCCCATGATCCAGACAATGGTGCACCAATTTCAGCGAAGTCGGTGGACTTCGAGAGCTACTAAGCGATGGATCATCCTAGAGCGGTACTTCGTTTAGGTGTGACCCGAGAGCGGGTGGACGAAGGTCGATTGCCAAAGGAGTGAACACAATCGAAGGTGGAAGAGGCCCTACGATGTGTTGGTAGAGGCCACACATAAAGGGATCATAATCCGAGTTCATCCCACAATGATCAAAATGCAATAGAGACATCACTAGGAGGCGACATAGTGCAGCAGATCATGGTGGAACAGTTCGTGGCAATGTGATACACACAAATCTAGTCCCGTGATGGACTATATCATACGAAGGTATGATTGGGAGCTCTTGGGAGCTCCACTTCGGTGAACAACACGACGACAAGAAGGGCTATGGATTCAAGGAGTGAAAGCCATGGTACCGCAGAGGCGGGTCTTCCATGCCTGCATCGAATTTTGTATTGGATGAAAGCCTTGGTCATCAGCATATGGGGCCTGTGTACCACTGAGAAAAAAGATCGAATGCAAGTACCAATGAGTCACATGGGAGGGACTTGATCATGCATAGGTATGATCAAAGTGGCTAGAGAGTTGGACTGCTCCAGAGCCCATATTCTTTTAAGGGAGCCCGGCAAGTCAGAGGACAATGCCGAGTAAACGAACATTGCTACCAAGGAAGCTAAGAAAAACAGAATCGGTGTGAACCTTACAACATGTGATGGCAAAGGCCATGCATGGGAGTTGCAGTCTGTCTTTCCATCGACCAAGGGGAATTGCTTTGAGAACACAGAAGTGTTTAAGCAAGGGGTCGAAAGGGCGAGGAAGCAACGACGAGTCCAGAGGGACTTAGCTACCCAAAACCAAGCATCGGTTAGAATGAAGGTGGACTCGAAGGAATGCCATAGAGACAGATCTACCGATCGTGAAGAAAGGGATGCAGATGCGAGGCGAGGGATAGTAGGGCCATGGGCATGGCAGCATCATGGTACTGTAGAGGCGGGACTTCCATGAAGTTTTCGATCCCTTACTCTCATTGAGGGAGAGCGCTTGGACATGAAAGGGGTCGGGGAGGTGGAGAATACAGAGGCAAACTCCAAGTACCGAGACAAGGCTGAAAGGCAGAGGCCAGGGAACTTCGTAAGACCAGTGTCTATGAGCTTCTCATCAAGATAGCCGAAAGTGGAGGACTTTGAGTCGATGTAAGAGTGCACAACCAAGGAACGAAGCAGGCAGTACGCGATGCTATACCTTTGCTACTTAGTGGAGTAGGCGGTTGGGTTGATGGAGATGATGGTACAATCCTAGAGGCGACCAAAACTATTAGAGACTTACTCCAAGTTGGGGTGAAAACTTCCTGCATTCCAAAAATTCGATAGCATTAAGAAGGTGAATCACAATAACTAACTCAACGCAAGGAGTACAAACACTTCAAGTGCTTCAAAAATGTGAGTAAAGAGCAGGCAAAGGCCGGTAACCAGCTCAATGCATAGAGTAAAACCCCTCGAGGAGGCGGGCGAAGTCAAGTAACCTTTGTCTTCTCAACTCTTAAGAGAATGGGCGAAACCGAGTACCCCAATTCTCTTATCTATCCAGCAGAGAGGCTCTGCACAAGTTCAAAGACCCTTCGAAGAAATCTAATGAAAGACAATAGTTGTCAAATCCTCACCAATGGTGATTAGTGCTACTGAGAGTAGATTATCTGCTTTATTTCCCAACAGAATACTAATCGAAAGCGGAAGTGATGCGAACCTACTTGGAAGTGACAACTAAGTGAAAGAAGAGTCGATGGGCAAATTTTGTGGAGGAAAGACCCAAAAACTTTAAAAAGTTTGCGAGGCGATATTCGTTAAAGCTCCAACAAGCATCCACTCAGTTCAAGCAACATGAGGCATTTGAGAAACTAACGCATAATATAGATGGTCTTTTCCTTTATCTGAAGAATCCGCAGGAACCAACAAGGATCAACACAACTCAGCCAACCCCACACTAGACTCAGAGTCATTCGCGAGTTGAAGCAGCACGGCGGATCAAAAGTTCGACTACTCAACAACAGCGACGAAGAGCAACTGGGGGCCAAGAGGCGCATTGCAGCTGGAGCAGAAGATTAAAGGCTCAGCAAAGGAGAGGAGTTACAGCGTCTGCAAGGGCTTCGATGAGGACATCAAAAGAATAAGTGGGGGAGAATATCGCGGACAAAATTGTAAATGGGGTGTTTGACATAATGCTTATATATGTCCGTGTCTTTTGGTTTGTTCATGCTTTGCACAGCATGTAAAGGGTTGGCAGTAGGCTTAGCAGCCCCATTTTCTTTCGGTCTATAGTGAACCATTTTGGACCCTTTGTTGTGCAACCGTTCAGAGCTTGTAAAGTTTGTTTGTAATTTGCATTGGCTATGAAGTGTTTCCTGAAACGATTGCTTGTGGATCCCGAGTGAGGCGCTTTCTCTAACTGTTTGCAAAG